GTTCACGTTGCCCAATAACTTTTTTTCTGGAATATATTTGTGTCCCTAAGCTAGGTCTTTGACTAGACTTTATTGAAGTATCTCTCGCTGGTCAAATGGGACTGTATTTTAAAGGAGCTTCAGGAAAGGGAGAACCGGCCATCAGACTTTATCAAAAAATATGTAAAGTGCCTGACAATATTATTTATTTATTTATTTGTTTGTTCATTCATTAATCAATTTTATTAACTGAATGATGAATAATGAATGAAGAAATAAAAAATAAATAAAATGTATTATTTATGATGAATTCTTACTATTGGAAACAACATTTTGTTGTGTGTTTGCTGGCAAGTGGCATTTTTTAAATGTATTATATATATTTAAATTGTTTTATATATATATATATATATATATATATATATTGCAATGAATTCTTAATATTATATTATATATTATGTATATATAATATTAATAATATATATGTCGATATATATATATATATATCACAAATTCTTACTATTATTGTGTATTTGTTGGATATATATACACATTTAAAAAGTATTTCCAATGAGAAATTTGCTAAAAATTACACATGATTTTTTTTTTTTGCTTGCAATAGTAAGAATATACATGATTCAGGACAGTTCATAGATAGATGGATGGATGGATATTTAATTATGTGGTTTTGTACCTGATATAGGAGTATTTTATCTATTTTTGTGACCTTATAATTTATTAATTTATTTGGTCACTTTTGCAGAACTGTTTGCACGAGCTTCGGAGCTTTGCGAACGCCTGTTTCCATTGCAAACAACCTTTTTTATCATCTGCGTTTGCTGGCAGATTTCTCATCGAATAATTGATCAGATGAGAAATGCTTTAAACAGTTGGAAACAAGTGTATCTTTGAAGTTACTCCCACATTAGACCTAGGGACAGATGATGCACTTTAAGGTAATTATACTGAAACTAATTATGCTTGCCCTAGAAAGAAAACATAGCCTCATATTCCAGGAGCTAACAGAAGTTAAAATAGCAGCTTTTGAGTTCTCAGATTTCACAGTTTAAAGTCTCTGGCATGAAGTACATGGAGACTGATATCTCGCGTTTACACACACCCGCCCCTTCTAATCTCAGGCGTCCCTTTTCTTTACATCTCCCTGCCTTTGTTTTTAGGCAGAAGGCCTATATAGTGAACGATCATTGTGAATATTTCTTGTTTTAGATTTGATCAATCTTTGATGTGCATGTGATTCATTTCCATTGAAGTAAAAAGTATCAAAGCGATGTACAATAATGGATTGTGTTCAACTCCACCCAGTTCAGACATATGTCAATGTTTGCTTCACACCTCCGCGTGCTTTTTTATTTCAAAAAGCATGTAAACAAAACCCCCAACCGCCCTGCCGACGCGCATTCAATTGCAATTATTTTCTTCCTTTCTTCTTCCTTTTCCCCCTTTTTTTTCCGGTTACAGTAAGACATTCAGCGCAGGGGGAAAATGAAAGTAAAACGCTCCTATCTCTCGCTTTGCGCTTTATTACGCCGCAACAGAAAAACACTTAGCATGTAAAATGAATGTGGAAATTATTCCTGGGGTAAACTATAAACACACAAGTTACCCCTCCCACCCCCCCACCACCATCCTCCTAGATCAGAGTGTAATTGCCAGTAATCAGGTCTGTTTGCAGCTGATAAAACCTCTCTGAATGCGTGGAACCCTCTTTGTATGATGACTCAATTATGCCCGAAGTGGCTCATCAAACCTGGACCATCAGCAGCTTTAATAAATAAGGAGGCACAAACTTGCTGCAGGCGCATTGTGATTCCATTCATTCCATAATTAAATCCATTCCTGGCTTAACCCTTTTCCAGCCAGACGCTACAGACAAACAAAAAGAGGGAGAGAGCGAGATAGAAAGAGAGTGGGTGACCTTGCAATGAGATCCTGTGTGTCTTCATAACTCTCTCTGTGCGATACTAGCGAGACAGGTGATATGGAGAGAGAGAGAGAGGGAGAGGAGAAGAAAACAGGGAAAGGTGATTGGAAGGAGAGAGAAGAAGGGAGGGAGGGAGGTATCTGGGTGGAGATAGAGCTGGAGGTCTTTATTTATTCATTGTTTAGTGCCACATAGTGCTTATTCCGTAATTACACTGAAAGTACAATCTAATCATAACAGTCATTCAGGAAGGAAAAGGGCACTGAGTGTGCTTCGGATGTTTTTTAGGCTTATTTCTTTCTACTTTTTTACCCTCTATCGTTTTACAAAGTCGAGATACAAAGACAAATCTTAATGCGAGCGAGTGAGCGAGAGAGCACTTGTAGGCGTGCACATTTCATTTAAAAAAGCCATTCTTTTTTAGAGATACGCTTCTGAAAAGTCTAAAAAAAGTTGTGTTAAATTTCAATTAAATGAGATGAATAACTTGGACGACTCGTTTAGAAAAACCTGTAAAAATGTGTGCAAAAAAAGTGCACTTACAGTGGAAGTCTATGTGAATATTGTTGCATGCTGCATGTACTTTTTATTTATTTATTAATAAATAAAAAATTTTAACCATCAGTTTCTAACTTATATTTAACATCAAAATGCTATTACTGCTATTATTTACATTTATTATGAAAATAAATTAACTGTTATTAATTTTGATCCATTTTGATCTAACATCCACAATAAGTGTTTGCTTTATCATGAATATTTTCTGTTAATAATTTGAGTCGTTTTTTTTTGTTTTCCTCTTTCATTTTTTGTAAAAGTGTTTTTAGTTTTTCTTTTTTTTTCTTAAAATTATTTCGAAATTGTTTTTATTTTATTTTTAGCTTGTTATTTTAGTAAGTTAGATTAAGTTTATTTTATTTTATTTCAAGTATGTTTTTGTTACACTTTATTTTACAGTGTTTGTTACACGTTACATGTTATTACTATAATAATAACTATAATTTATGCATAATTGCATGCTGCTAACCTTAAAAAACTAAAACCTAATCCTATCCCTAACTCTATAGTAAGTACATTTAGTTAATTACTCTCTAACATGGACACCTAAAAATAAAGTGTAACCTGTTTTTTCAAACAATGAATTGAAATCGTTAAATAGAAGTGAATTCTGTGTCAAATATAAGTTAAAACACAAGTTTGTACGCTTGCCCCATAGACTTCCATTGTAAGTGCATAACTCTCAATGCACGTTTGTTTTTCCTAAAAATATTTTCCGTGCTAATCTACAGAATACACAAATATTGTCGCTTAACTTGCAATTTAACCTGGAATACTATTTCTGTGCATGTCATAATAAAGCTAAAGATGATTTGAGGTTTGATTACTAGCAGTCGTCCCTTGAGCGGTTAAATCCGATGAGCGATCGTGATGCTGATAACAAACATAATTACCATATGCATTGTGTCGTTGTCTGTTTGTTTGTCTTATTTTCGATGATGTTAGCATTCATGTGTTAAAGCCTAGAAATGCGCTAACATTGTACCAGGCCTTTAATGATAGCGTGTGCGTTTCTGTTTTGACCAGAAAATGTCATTCATATTTTCTTTCTCATTTGTGTATGTTAACACTAATCTTCTTTGTATGTGTGTTTTTAAGGGTCGTCGTGTCGTTCATTTGAATTAAATCACGCCCATTGATGTCTAGAGGCTGTAAAGTGCAACTCTCTGGCTTGGGCTCAGACGGGGCTTTGAGAAAAAGAGCAGATGGGTTAGGGCAAAGTGCAGCGGTCGCATACGCACACGCGCAGACGTACACACGCACACACGCACGCACGCCGCATCAGGAAGCACTATCTCCTTGGAGACCGCGAGGCCATGCACATTAGTGGCCCGGCCCTCAGAGGGACGCTGTCTGCGCGCAGAAGGGGCGAGAGAAACCCCCTTATAATGATTCAGCAGATGACGGGCCGCTCAAGGAGTGGGCCGTTTTTCTTCTTATGCTAATGAGGGGGGCCCCCTCCTCGTCCCCGGGCCCCTGTGCTCGTGTAGTGGTGGGGGCCAACGGGCAAAAGATGCTGGGAGTTTTTAGCCATAATTAACACAAAGCTCTCTCTTACTCTCTCTCTCTCTCTCTCTCTCTCTCTCTCTCTCTCTCTCTCTCTCTCTCTCTCTCTTTCTCGCTCTCAAAGCCAACAGGCATGAATGGCTCACCAATAGCAGAGCTCAGGCGTTGTGTAGCGCAGCGTTTAAATTGTCCCGATGCGCGCAATCACACAAAACTCTTCCCGGATTAACCATATTAATTACACACAAGCTATTTGATTTCTGTCAAGCAATCAATTTGCATCTTGTTAAGAAAGCCACATGAGGTCTTGTCTGGTAATTCGGTCCCAGGTTTCTCAACGGCAGCGTTTGTAACATTCACGGTTAGCGCTTCGAACAACTCCTGAATGTAGTCGTCCAAGCGGAAGTGAATTTAAAATAAGTGTTTTTAAACTGTGCACTGTTAGCTAAAAATGGCAACAAAAAAAAGTATAATTTAATATGGCTTTGAGTTCATTTTAACAGATATAAATAGATTTTTAAAGTTAAAACTGCACATCAGAAATGTCTTATAACTGCAGTTTTTGTGGTCATGGTTTCACTTTAGGACACATTTGTAAGTTAAACATTTATTTCACACTAGTCATACTCCGTAAAGTGCGATTCAAGTTGCCCTTGATATCTTTTGTCTTTCTTTCACTCTGAGCATGAATAGCGTTTCTATTCGAACAACTCCTAAATGTCCAAGCGGAAGTGAATTAATAATGAACTGTCTCTTTAAAAAGTATGCACAAGCTAAAAAATCTCACAAGAATGATTTAATATGACTAAAGCAACCTGACTGCATTGAGTTATAGTGATTTTCAACAGGGTAGAAATATCTTTTTAATGTTTTACAATAAAAATGTCCTTATAACTGCTGTATTTTGTGTTGTGTTTTCTCTAAAGGACACATTTGGGATTAAAAAACGGATTCCACACTAGTCATTCAAATATACTTGTCGTTGATATCTTTTGTCATTTTCTTCTTCACTCAGAGCATGAATGTCACACTCACATCTTAGAACAGCTGAAGAAACGTGTGTGCAGTAACCGGAGCGGCCCGCTGGGACCTCGCAGAGCATCTTATTCAGTACAGACCAAACAAACAAAGGTAAAGTTAGTCATTCTTTCTGCAGTGGACATATATTGGCCATTGATTCAGTCAGAGTATCTCACGTGTCCACTTCCAGTGGTTTATACACTCTTGTTCATCAATTTGTGGACTAAAAAAAAGAATTTGCCTCTGTTTTTCATGTTGGTGTGTATTTACACACTACATAATCATTTAGGCTTATTAAAGTAGAAAAGTATTGCACTGTTAAAAATGTTTTAAACATTTTGGATGCAACATCTGTTGTTTTAAAAATGTTTTATAATGCATAAACACATGTAGTACATTTCTCTAGTAGCCATTCTGAGTACTTTATCTATTTTTTGTACTTTTATTTTATTTATTTATTTTTTATTTTTATTTTGGTCAACATTTTCAATATAATGCACTTAAAATGAAAGTCTTTGGGGCAACTGCTGTTCATAACTATGTTAGTGCATAACTATACATTTTTTAACTAATATTTTTCTAACGTTTTAGTATAAATCATTTTTGAGTCTGTGAGAATTTTTTTTTTGCTTAGCCTATATGCTACAAAATCATTTTAAAAGTATTGTTACCAGTACAACACTTCAAAAAGGTTATATTCCATCATAATATATTATTTAATATGAACAAACTTGATGATTTTAGTTTTGCAGACAATGCAGCTTCTTTAAGTGACAGTTGCGCAGTATTTTAAAAGTATATGATTTTTTTTTTATATTATAGTAAAGCATGCAAAGTTTGTTTGTAGTTTGTCTGGGGAATCACTTGTGCTATTGTCTAAAGTTGTTTTTGTCAGGCTCAGTTGAAACTGACTCGCTACCTGAGGCCGGCGACGCTTGTTGACATATGTTTTGGTTTTTTGTACGGTGGTGATGTGTATTTTAAGGGATTGTTAGTGAGCAGCTGTTGCCTGATCACTCTCCTCCTCATGTCAAAGTTTCCGCTCTGAACATACCAAATATCAAATTACGTAACCCTCGAAATCTGCGTAACCTTTGTTGAAATAAAGCCCTGTGCTTGTCGGAGCTGATAAAAGCTTTTCTTTTTACTCTCTCAGCGAAACAATACAGAAATCACGATACGAAAACCTGGCTCTCGCAGTTTTTTAATAGTTTCAGCTTTCAAGAGGTGTTCAGAAAAGCCCGTCCGGAAGCGTCAGGGCACTTCTGGCGTTGCGTGTGTTAGCGTGCGTCTGTGTGTACACGAGCGAGCCAGTGTAATGAACTAATCAGGTACATTAGTTTTTACAGAATGTAATCTATAGTGTTTGGGAGTTGTTTGTCTCAATAGGGGCCCCCAGTAATCAAAAGTAATGAAGCTATTACGCGTCGGGAGCCGGGAGAGGGCCGGCGTGGCATTAAGAGTGGGCCACATAAAAGGTTTATTAAAGGAAATTAAGGTCCATCAATGCCACACCTGCTCCCCCTATTATAAATGTATGACAGGTCAGTGGCTTCAATCACAACAGCCAAGCCGAGAGAAGGGGAGATAGGAGTCATGTTTCCCATTATAAGCGAAGTAACAGCCCAGCCAGTGACTCACCGAGCTCACCAGACCCTCCGACCGCTATAGAGCGCCATCAGCCCAGAATAATTACATTTAATAGGTTTTATTTGGGATCAGCAAGGCACTGCTGGCAGAGAGAAACCGAGAGAGAGAGAGAGGGAGAGTGAGTGAGTGAGTAGGTGCAGCGGTATTAACAACTCTTTTTGTCTAAACACACACACACACACACACACTACTACTTTTGTTTGTCGCTGGTTTTTGCATTATTATATTTTTGCTCGCCCCTGTCTCACCCTCTTAAAAGTGAAGGCCTGTGTGACTGTTCTCTGCTTGCTGCTGTAGTTCTGTGCAGATGCTAAGTCAATTAAATCAAGCCAAAATATGAAGCCCGGCACACAATGCCCGTAACGGACCTGAGCCACTGCGTGAAATCTCCCTCTTTTATTTGTCATAAAGTTCACTGACCTTTCATTTCTTGTGCTGACGCCTGATTGCACGCTCCAGGAATCACAGACTTGATTGGATTAGGTTTTTTACTACTATTATTTACTGTAATCCTAGAATTTTAAACTTATTCATTCATTTTTTTTTAAGATCTAAAGTTGTGATGCCTTGCAGATGGGGTGTTTCTGAAAGTGCAAAGGAAATGTGATCAACTCTTTGTATGACAATAATCTGGCTTACTTATTAATAACATAAACTGACAGGAACTTAGCTGTCACTCTGATGATGAGATCCTGCTGAGATGAGTTATTAAACAGGATTATAAATCTCTGGAATTGAAAATTGCTATTTGTTATTAACTTTTTTTTCTGTTTTTATTTCCAGATGGAGTCTGACAGTGAAGAGAATCACAGCGAAACATGTGATGGCACAAGTAAGTGCTTCACAAGTTTAAAAATATATAAAGACTATTTTTTAATAATATAATATACCATAACATAAGATAACATGACATGGCATGTGACATGATATGACACATAAAGTAACAAGGTATAACATAAATTGTAACAATATAACGTAACAATATCTGCATTGTTACGTTATACATTGCAATCTATTTTTAATGATATGTTTTATATATCAATCTATCTTTATTAGGTTAATAAATCTTTTTTAAATTAATTCTTTATTAAGGTTCAGATCAAGTAAATATCTAGCTTGACTTTTTAAATTTGACTTATAATTATCAACAGTATACTCAGTGATTTATATTCAAATAGTTAGAAATGTCAACTCTTATTTACATATTTTAATTAACATCTGTTCAGCATTTTATAAACTTCAATGGCGTAATACATTTTTGCATAAAGCGTTAAAGTGCTTCATATCATTGTAAAGATGTATAACCCATTACCTCTGCAACATAATATTTATTTCATGCACTTGTTATGAAACATGATCTCATAACACTTTTTAGAACGCATTATTGGTTTGTATAAACATGCATTATATTTGCCCTGTACAGAGTTCACATAAACAAGCTGAACACATTTCCCATGATGCCTCAGCGACGCTTCCTGACAGGCCCGCGTGCGCGCACACCCTTTTCCTACGCACATTTGATCTGAAGTGTTAGTTTAACGGTCTCACATCAGATCTGTCAATTTTAATATTAATCCTCTTTAGCTGGAGAGAGGTGCGGTTGCCGCGGCGATGCATTATGCATAGACAGTGACTTCATTATGTGGCAATATTCTTTCAAACGAGTTAAGGAGGGCGTCGTGAATGGGAAGAGCGACTAAAGCATGACAGGGGACATCATTATTCAAGTGTTTAGAGCCACGTACTGTACCGCTCATGTGCGCCTGGCCCTTTAATGTGCCGGTAAAAATTCATGATGGTGTTTTATTGAGTCTTCACCATGGGATTGAGGTGAAGCTGTGAATGAGATATTCTCTCCTACTGACACACATTCCTTCTCTCTCTCTCTCTCTCTCTCTCTCTCTCTCTCTCTCTGTCTGTCTGTACATCTCCTGAGACTAAGTTCACAGTGAGGCTTTGAATATATCATGTTGTCAGAGCTGTGATTGTTAAACACTGTTTAGTAAAGTGATCCAGCTTTCCCCCCCATGCAAATCCAGACCTGTGTATTGTCTTACACTGTGTAGTCAGTTGCTAATTTTGCCCCAAGAGAAAATATTTTGCATCCTGAACATGCTTTATGATATATAAAACAATTCATCCCTGTCAGAGAATTTTCATTTTACCTTTCCTTTCATTTAGTCTACAAAATGTGTGTCTGGTAACCTAAAAAGTGCATCTTGTAGAAACATATTCAGTTTTATTCAAGTCAAACATATAATAATATAATAAAAGTATAATATGTAATATATGTAATTTAAAAATATATATAATTGTATAAATAAATATAAAACAATTATTTAAATATAATGAATTTTAATGGTATTTTATTTAATATATTTTTTTATTTAATATAATGTATTTTAATGTATTTTGTAGTTATAATGTAATATGCATATTATTTTATTGTATTATTAATATTATGTATAATAAGACTGAAATACTTGCATCAACAAACATATCTATTTTATGCAACAACTCCATTTTTACTTATAATGATAAGTAAATTAACTAGTTGCAATTGACATAAAGACATGATAAACTGTTTGAAGTTCAGCCCTACTTCATAAGAAAGACATTACCCAGAATGCCTGACCTTAAAGGGCCAGAGCACTCAAAAATGACAATTTTGTCATTGTTCCAAACCTGAATGGCTTTCTCTCTTTCAGGTTTGGTGCACTCTTAGAAATAAGGTTCTCTGAACCCTAGGGTTCTTGCCTTCATTTTAGAGAATGCTTTAGGAGAAATATCTTGAATGATTGCATAATACTTTCATGTTTAATGGGTTACTTTAATGTATGTTAACGAGCTGTTTAATTTATAAAAATGACCCCATGATGGAAGCCCCTAAAAGGTTCTGTAAATGAAGTGCCTGAAAGAACCCTTTAAGGTTCTAAATAAGACATTATGGGCTGTGAATCCACTAGCAAAATAGGGTCAACTGATACCGGACAAGCGGAGATCCTCTCTAACGTGGTTTTAAAAAATACCTGAAGCCTTATTTGCATCTTTTTGTTTTGTATGGATTTGCATCCTTTTTGCTGCTATCCAAAAAAAAGAGGTAGAGGAAGTTTTTTGCTTGAGATGTTTTGTATGCCAGAAGAGTTGTATCCTCAACACAAGCGTCTCTCAGCGAGTCAGCAGGAGCCTTCATCATTGTGTCCGTCTGAGTGTGACATTAAAGCGAGAGGTGTGTGAAGGATCACAGGCAGGTGCTGGAGGGGCCGGCTCGCTGCTGGAAATGTAAACATGTGTGTTTACTCTTTCTCTCTCTTTTTCTGTTTGCAGTTCTGCCTGACTGCATCGCTGAGGCGCCCAGGTAAGCCAGAGAGTTCACTACCTGCTTCCGAGTGTCAGTTTATGGCTTTTCTGACGCCTTTTCATACGTGCAGTTGTCAAAAGTTGCATTTAAGATTTCAGGTATTGGACACTTAACAATAAATGAATGTCTTTGCATTGGATTCCAAATATTAAATCAAGTAAATCGTCTTTTCTTTTGACTAATTTGTCTTCATCATGTTTGCTCAGTCTTTTAACCTAGTGTTTTGATGTTTTTTAGCTGATGTATGAAGTCATTTAACTACTGGATGAACATGATCCATTTGAGGAACTATTTTGTGCTTAAAAAAAGTGTGCTTGTATATCTTTCTTTAAAATAAACGTCGCTTGATTTGATGTTTTACCTCTAATGCAATGACATTCATACATTTTTAAGTATGAGCCTGCTGGCAAAAAGAGAATGCGACAAAGCTCGTAATAAAACCAATATCAACATTGGCTTGGCTTTTCGGAGATGAGCTGCGCTGAAGCACATCCAAAACAATGTTCTTCCCCAAAATGCATACAGCTATAGGGCCAAAAGTTACATAGTGTACCTTTAAGTGTCCAAATACTTTTTGTGGCAGGTGTAGTTTGTAAATTATGGAAGCTTGTTTCCGTCACAGAATAAAGAAATAAAAAAGGTAATTGTGACTTTTTATCTCACAATTCTGACTTTATTTTCTCACAATTGCGAGTTTACATCTCACAAGTCAGAATTGCGTGATATAAAGTTGCAATTGCGAGTTATAAAGTCAGAATTGTGTGATATAAAGTCGCAACTGCATCTTAGAAAGTCAGAATTGTGAGACATAAACAACTTTTGAAAAAAAGCACAACTTTTTTCTCAGAATTGCATGTTTATATCTCGCAATTCTGAGATTATAACATGCAATTGGAAGATATAAAGTCAGAATTGCATGATATAAAGTCTCAATTGCGTGTCATAAAGTCAGAATTGAGAATTGTGAGTTTATATCTCGCAAATTTGAGTTTATATCTCACAATTATGACTTTATTTCTCAGAATTGAAGATATAAAGTCAGAATTGTGTGAAAACTCTTTTAAAGTGTTTTATTCTGTGGCGGAAACAAGCTTCCATGGTAAATGGCTTGTTGCATGCGTCTTATTATTCAGCTGCATGAATTGTCTTTATACTAATGCAATGCAAGTTGTTTTGTGCATTTCTTTGTGTCAAAGTCTACACTTACCTTTAAATGATATCGGCCTACAGCAAACATTTTATTCTCTGTATCATTCCTTATTATGCAGCGTGATAGCTGATAATAGCAACAGATTTCTCATTGAAAATAATGAGCCAGTTCATGCTTGAGTGTTTTGGACTCTGTGTTCACACATAAGTTCACACATGAGGATCTGCGATGCTGAATTTCTTAGTCACATCTTGCAGGGAATTTCAGATGCCGCCCTGATGAGTTTTGTAACAAAGTCGCTGCCTCAAAGAGCATGAAATGCCATTCGCCACCCTTTGTTGTGTGTGTGTGTGTGAAACAGGATGTTCAGTGAGACAAAATGTAGGGCGAGGCTCGATTTGATCCATCGGGAATTGATTGGATGGTGAAAAGTGGGCTCTTATAAGTGGTTGGAGGGGAGGGGTTGAAAAATAAGAAGGCTAAAATGGAAAGTCGGTTCAGAGGTGGAATTATATTTTTGTCTTTGGAATAATGGGTGCCATCGTATCATTTACTGTAAGACCAGAAATGTGAATTAAGAAAGACGTTTTTGATTTAATGTTAACTTGAAACTACATTTCTATCTGTTATCTGTCTAATCGGAGAGCATTATGGGTCAATTATAAAAATAAGTAATAATATATGAGAAAAGGAGAATCTAGTCATGTCTGTTCACATACACTACTGTTCAAAAGTTTGGGGTCGGTACGACTTTTTATGTTTTTGAAAGAAGTTGATCAAAAATACTGTAAAAACAGTAAAATTGTGAAATATTATTACAATTTAAAATGGCAGTATTGTTATTTTAATATATTTTAAAATGTAATTTATTCCTGTGATCAAAGCTGAATTTTCAGCATCATTACTCCAGTCTTCAGTGTCACATGATCCTTCAGAAATCACTCTAATATGATGATTTGCTGCTCAAGAAACATGTTGAAAACAGTTGTGCTGCTTATTTATGTGGAAACCGTGATATTTTTTTTATCAGGATTCTTAGAAGGAAAGAAAGCATTTATTTGAAATAGAAATCCTTTGTAACATTATATGTCTTTACTTTTACTTTTGCTCAATTTAATGGTATTCTTTTGCAAGAAAATCATGCTGACCCCAAACTTTTGAACAATATCGTAAGTCATTTTATTAATGAGCTGCATTTGACTTAAAAGGTTCCACAAAGAACCAAAACACTGATCTAAAGAGCCTATTGTTGGACATTGTTTACTCAACTCAAGAACCAAGAACAAGAGTGTTTTTTGCTGAAAGAACCATTGAAGAACCGTTTTGAGTTTTAATTGGCACAACTTATTTCGAGATGTGTCTAAACAACACTAAACCTCACGGGTCAGATCCATTAGATCTTTGTACCTCAACCAATCACATACTCAGACACAGACAGTTTAACGGGTTGATTTGTGACATGACGCATCCATTAAATGACCCCTGTATTCTCCTTCCAGCTTGCATCTCGGAGCGGGTAAAAAGCGTGCGGCCGCAGAAGGGGTCCGCGGGGCGCCAGTCAACAAGAGGAAATCTCTCCTGATGAAGCCCCGCCACTACAGTCCCAGCCCCTGCCCCAGCGAGGAAGACCTGGCAAACGCTCGGGACAAAGACGCGCCCAGGAACACTGACACTCCAGCAGGTAGACAGATGTCCTGTTGTTTTGTCTGTTTTGATGAACAATTGACGCTGAATTTTAAACTACCATCTGTTGCATTCATATATTTGTTTCCCTCCTCCTCCTCCTCCTCCTTCGCCTCTTTTCCCTCCTCCCCTATCGCATCCATCTATCCATCTATCATGTTTGTCTATCACGGCGTCCCATGGAAGTTGATCCGTCAGAAAATTCCTAGCCGGTTTTCCCCGCATCCGGTCTCCAGATTAAGGGCGATTTCCTCCGCTCGACTACTTTGAAACCCGGATTAAAAACTCGGCGTTAAAGTAGCTGGCGCCGGGTCGATTATGCAGCCTGGAAAAGTGCTTTTTTATAAGCAAGTGTGGTTGCTTGCATAATTATGCAAATAGGGTAACTGAGAATAGAATGCACCAAATTATATTGTGCCTCGTTGACAAAAGAGAGTGATCATACACTCCAACAACAAAACATTTTTGGCAACGGAGGCACGGAAACGTTAAAGTCGATATTACGTTTTAAAGCAGTCTCCTTTCTAGAAACAAAATGCTGCCATTTCCTAATGAATCAAATTATGAGCATGTTGGCAACAATACCCATGCTTTACATGTGTACCTCCACACCCCTATAATCTGCACTTATTTGGTATATTTTTAACGATGTAACCAAGCAACAAACGTAATTGTCCCTTTCGAAAGCTTTTGTTAGACCATCGAATGCAGCCCAAATATACATAATTAGGCATAATGTGTGCTGCTCATTATTGGACACATGTGGGTTGTTAAATGGACAACAAAATAGCTCAATAAATTGAACAGCATCATTGGAAATGGAATTTATTTGTTTCTCTGATTTCATATTACCCACAATAATCATAACCTTTTTTTTTTTTTTTCTCCTCCTTTGAGTTTTTTAGTATTATTTTCTGAAGTTGCGGAATGATTAGGAAAATCTCATTTGTCATATTTCCCTGCTGTCTCGCAACATGTTTGCTTTGGGTTTTGCCAAAGTGCACTGCTGAAGAAGTGCTACTGAAAAAAAAAAAAAAAAATTAAAAACATAATGTGCGGGGACTGGGAGTGAGTGACGACTGGGACCGTAGCGAAATTAATGGATCTGTAGAGGGACGAGAGGGGTGTGTGAATTTAAGGAGAAAAAAAAGGAAAAGGAAAGGCAGGGGAGAAATTAAAGGGATGTAAGGCTTCCATTTGGTACTGTTGTGTATGTGTGTGTGTGTGTGTGTGACTCCAGCCAAGCTTCTGGTCTCCATACACACAATGGTAATGGTTATTCTGGAGTATAAACCATTCACCTGTTCCAAAACACAAACCACTCTCTGCATCCAAGCATTTTTCGCCCTTGTTCGCTCCAGTCTTTTTTTTCCCCACTGTTCTGTTTTTTTGGTCAGGGCTGTATCTCCATCTGGATGGCAGAGAACTCCTAATCATCTGCTCTGTTAATTGTGTCTTAGCATAACTGGCGAACTTTTCATCTGCGCTGGACCGCTTTGGGTTTTCACACCTCAAACTGCTGACAAAAGCGACATAATCAGGAAAATCGTCCGCTTTTAAGTGTGTTAGCAGTGGAATCCATGCTCCGTTTTGGTTTCGCCGTCCAGATGCTTCATGGTTTTGTGTTACGGGCAATGATTCTTGAGATATGGGACAAAAAAGAGCGACAGAAATGAATAAATATTTAAGTTTAAAGTTTGTGGACTAATCTGTTCAGCATGTTCATGTTTTGGTGCAACTTCCTGCTTCCATTTTCTCACAAAAATGTTTTCCCTTCTCTATCGCTTTGTACAGGTCAACACCGTCAGATACAAACATGAGTAGTACCATGTCAGATATTTATAATAAATGGAGCATTCAACTATGATTAAGAATAAATTGAGACCACAGGACGGTTTTAAACTGATTTCCTGCTCCGTCTTTTTAAATGTCAGCAACATCTCATGGAAAAAACTGATGGTGTTGACAAAATAATGACATTTAGTTACAGATGTATTGTAGCCATTTTGTTTATTTGGACTGGCATATGGAAAAATAAAACATTCAGGACATAAAGACTAACTTGATTTTATTAATATTTTCATAACCTGAAAGATGTGTATTTTTTAAGGTGCGTTTATTTAAATTAATATAATTTTTTTAATAATCTTTTATTTAAAATTTACATATTTATTTAATTAAAAATATATATTTATTTTAAAAATAGCAAAAATAGCTTTTTGGTTGTTTTTTTTACAAAAAAATAATATTAATATAATAAAAAAAATATTTATTTAAAAATACACCTTTAAAACGCACCTTTCAGATCAAAATATTAATAAAATCCGGCAAGTTAGTCTTCATCCTGATTGTTTAATATATGTTTGAGAGATTTGGTGACTGAATATACAACTGTGGAATATTAACTATGTTTAAGGAACATTTTATCTGTTCTGATTCATATTATTGTTGATTTAAAAGTGTGACGTTTCATCTCTCAAGAATCAGTGCAGTAACATTCGACACGCATTCAATTGGATGCAATTCCAAAAATAAAAACGGACAAGATTAACCACCCTTTCCTCAAGCAGCATGCATAAAAACTATAATTATCTGAACAAACAGAATCAAAATTTAGGTTGTGCGCTAGCATTATGCCTTTGCATTCGTACAGCGCCAATGTAGACCTCTGCGACATTATGCCGAGTTTGGCATGGTACGAACCAATCCGCAAGCACACTCTAACCCCTCAAAGCCTGGTTTCCATTTTTGGCAAGAGACGGGTGAGATTGTAAATGCCACTGAGCTCTCTATCCCCCCCATTTAGGGATGTTTTTGGGGGGATTAAAAGCAGGACTACTTTATATGCTCTTTAAGTCTAGCAACTGTTTGTTAAGGCAGTGTGATCCCATTAGAAGCCCCTGAAACCGCATGTGGCGGCAGCCAAAATGCTCTAATATCTAATCAACTCAGTGGTTGCATATGGTTTGGAGGGTGGCATAAGGCCCTCTAAGAGGATAGATGTATCTCGTGCTTATACGCTGTATTTTGAACTTTAAACCCTAGTGCCCAAAGAGCTTTAACCCCGGCGGGTAAGTTTCAGAGAGATCAGTTGTGGATTGTAAATCAATCCAGCAGATAGTTTTCTTTTGTTAATCATTGACTCGATTACTTAATATAATCGGGTCTGTTGCGATTCCAAAGAGTCGTTTAAAGGTGATTTTAAGGGATAAAAGATCTGAGATTTATCCCCCCCCCCCCCCCCCCCCCAATAAAAGAGGAATTATTCACCCTATAAACCCCCAGTCAAATAAGCTTTATGGATTTATCAAAAGTAGTACTGTAGTATAGCAAATCATGCTGCTTTCTGATTAGCGTTTACAGCTTTATATCATTGTGGATTTAAAAAAAAAAAAAAATTCCAGTACATTTAACACATTTTTAAGCAAGTCGCACTTTAAAAAACACTGTTGCATAACTTGAACAGATGGAAGATTAAATTAAGAGGGCATATTTTTTATATAAATGTTAACATTTAATACATTTTAAATGTTATTTATTTTATATTAAGGTCAAGTATATACACTCACCTAAAGGATTATTAGGAACACCTGTTCAATTTCTCATTAATGCAATTATCTAATCAACCAATCACATGGCAGTTGCTTCAATGCATTTAGGGGTGTGGTCCTGGTCAAGACAATCTCCTGAACTCCAAACTGAATGTCAGAATGGGAAAGAAAGGTGATTTAAGCTATTTTGACCGTGGCATGGTTGTTGGTGCCAGACGGGCCGGTCTGAGTATTTCACAATCTGCTCAGTTACTGGGATTTTCACGCACAACCATTTCTAGGGTTTACAAAGAATGGTGTGAAAAGGGAAAAACATCCAGTATGCGGCAGTCCTGTGGGCGAAAATGCCTTGTTGATGCTAGAGGTCAGAGGAGAATGGGCCGACTGATTCAAGCTGATAGAAGAGCAACTTTGACTGAAATAACCACTCGTTACAACCGAGGTATGCAGCAAAGCATTTGTGAAGCCACAACACGCACAACCTTGAGGCGGATGGGCTACAACAGCAGAAGACCCCACCGGGTACCACTCATCTCCACTACAAATAAGAAAAAGAGGCTACAATTTGCAAGAGCTCACCAAAATTGGACAGTTGAAGACTGTAAAAATGTTGCCTGGTCTGATGAGTCTCGATTTCTGTTGAGACATTCAGATGGTAGAGTCAGAATTTGGCGTAAACAGAATGAGAACATGGATCCATCGTGTCTTGTTAACACTGTGCAGGCTGGTGGTGGTGGTGTAATGGTGTGGGGGATGTTTTCTTGGCACACTTTAGGCCCCTTAGTGCCAATTGGGCATCATTTAAATGCCACGGCCTACCTGAGCATTGTTTCTGACCATGTCCATCTCTTTATGGCCACGATGTACCCATCCTCTGATGGCTACTTCCAGCAGGATAATGCACCATGTCACAAAGCTCGAATCATTTCAAATTGGTTTCTTGAACATGACAATGAGTTCACTGTACTAAAATGGCCCCCACAGTCACCAGATCTCAACCCAACAGAGCATCTTTGGGATGTGGTGGAACAGGAGCTTCGTGCCCTGGATGTGCATCCCACAAATCTCCATCAACTGCAAGATGCTTTCCTATCAATATGGGCCAACATTTCTAAAGAATGCTTTCAGCACCTTGTTGAATCAATGCCACATAGAATTAAGGCAGTTCTGAAGGCGAAAGGGGGTCAAACACAGAATTAGTATGGTGTTCCTAATAATCCTTTAGGTGAGTGTATATATTTCAATTAATAAATGGTGATTTTAGATGTGGGGGTCAGTAAATACTAAATTATTTGTATGCACTTGGGATAAATAATGTTTATCATTTTCTTGACAAAATTTTATATTGTATATATATTTTTTTTTAATCATTTGAAAACATTTGAAATGTATTCTTGACTTTCTTTCTTTCTTTCTTTCTTTCTTTCTTTCTTTCTTTCTTTCTTTCTTTCTTTCTTTCTTTCTTTCTTTCTTTCTTTCTTTCTTTCTTTCTTTCTTTCCTTCCTTCCATCCATTCATCCATCTATCCATCCATCAGTCCATCCATCCATCCATCCATCCATCCATCCATCCATCCATCCATCCATCCATCCAAGTTTATAAATGTGCTCAGTGACATATTTTGCAAATCCCAAACTGAAGCTGTCATATTTGTCACGACTTGTGATTTTGAAGGATCTGAAAACCATCTGTTAGTCTTTTACTTCCAAACACAATCATTTAATGAGCTCTTACTGATGATCCATACATTTAAACCCCATTGTTCTTCTGTGTCTCAGATGAGGAACTCGACGGCAGTGATGTTCTGGAAGACACCGTCTATCACAACGCAAACTCTCACCACTTGTTGTCATGGTCGGAACAAACGAGCGAGGGTTCGCCAGACCTGATGGCTCAGATATCCGAGCACCAGACTGAGCAAGAGGAGGAGGAACACAACCAGGACTTTGAAGACCAAAATCAGGAGGAGATCAGAGCCAGCTATCACCTTTCTCCAGACAGAGAGGCAGACGAGGAAGAATGGAGCGTTCCTCCGTCCCTAACGAAAGTCAACGGGATCCATCACAGCCCCAGTCCCCCTGCAGACGACGCTTTCATAAAGAGACTCCGAATAGGTCAGCAGTTCCACGAAGACGCTCTTTCTGCTTACATCAACAGAAACAGTGCAGGGAACTTTATGGAGGAGTATGGCTCTGTGCGAGAGTTCAGCGACAGTGAGGAGGAGCTCCAGACGCCCAGGATTGAGGAGCGAGGAGGTGTTTGGGGTCCAGGTCTGATGGCCAGACGTCTGGAGCTGGATAGAGCCCGACTGAACCTCAGTCTTCTAGAGCAGGCCATGGTGCTGCAGTCTGAACATAGACAGGTCATCCACAGTGCCTACAAAGACATGGACCGCTTCCTCCTGGAGCAGATGAACCATGATCGGAGGCAGCAGAGGATGCTGGAGATAGACGCTCGCTCCATGTACCACAGCAGCAAAGGTGAGATTCACTATCGCGTTCTCACTGATTTTGAAAGATTATAGTTTGAATTCCTTGTAAATGTTCTGATTCATTAAAGTCGGCATGAATCATAAGAGTCATTCAATCAGGAGTCGAACTATGTCTTAAAAAAAGAACTAGTTTTCAGTGTCATCGTGTGACTTGGTGCGGTCACTTGTATGCGCCATACAGTCTGCTCTATACGATCTTTATGTAGAACCTGATTTAGACCAATAATCAACCACCTAGAACACCCGAACTAAACGAACTATGTGTTTGATTCGTTAAAAAGAACCGGCTCATTAGAGTCGTTCATTCTGGAATCAGACTACATGCCTATGTTTCTGATTCACTAAAAAGAACCGGCTCATTAAAGTCTTTCATTCAGCGGTTGGACTTTACTAGTCGCGCTGTATATGATTAGCAAAAAAAAACCTGGTTCATAAGAGTCATTCATTCAGCCGTCGGACTTCACTTGTTGCACTTTATATGTTTGTGATTCGAAAAAAGAACCGGCTCATTAGAGTCATTAATTCGGTGGTTAACTGATTCGTCTGTTTTGCGGTGCCTTGTATTGCAGGAAACTCTGTTGTAGTGTTAACGAACGGAACCGAACATCATTCAGTTTACTTTTTTAGGGATGCACCGATATGAAAAATTTGTCTGATACCGATAGTTCTTTATATTTGAATGGTGACAACCGATATATTGGCCAATAAATCTAAATCCAAAGTTTTTAGAGCCTGATTACGAAAGCGAAAGTCTCACCTTTAAAAGCCATGCACACGATTATGTATAATGTTCTCATTATAATTTTATTAAGCCTATATGACAGACCTGCACTGCACGTTGCAACCATATTTTCCTTTTTAAAAGCGATTTCAATCATTTTTCAACCAATTCAAAACCATCATTGTGAACAGAGCACATCTGAAGTGTCACATGTACTTACTCTAGGGTTAGCATCAGGGTTTGGTTTGGATTAGGGTTAGTTGCATGTAGTTATGCATAATTTATAGTTATTAATATAGTAACTACATGTAACATCTTTAACAATGACACTGTAAAATAAAGTGTTGCCATTTATTTTAATTCATGTATTTACTTAATAATTTTATTTACTATTTTTTACCATTATTCTCTTTTTCACGGACCCACTGTCGCTTTCTTGCAGGCCAGTTTGAAAACTCCTGCTTTACACCATATCATAGTATGTGCAATAAAACTAAAAAAATCAACATATTAAAAAAAAGAGACATACAGAGATTCTAGCCCAAAGGGATAGATAAATAAAATCCTCTTAAGTGCTAAAAACATTTTGTCTAGAAAATATTTAATAGTAAATAACCAACATGATTTATATATTTTTTTTTAAGTACAAGAAGAAAATCTTCTGATGACATCTATGTATGCTAGATTTTTATCAGTATCTGCCAGATATTTTACCATGAGCACAAATTAAGTCATAAATCCTAGTAAAGTATCTCTGATGTGAGCTTTAAGCACTTTGAATCTTGTGATGACTGCTGTTTAATGGGTAATCTCTGAAGATAATCTCTCTATGGATCAACGCTAAGAAACCGGTGCCCTGAGCAAGACCGCAGCCTTAACTAATGTCACGGATGAATACATACACATACCCATCATGCTTTTACAGGATGTGCTTCAGCTTACATAGAGAGAAACGTGACTGGATGGGAGGAACTATAACCACATTCTTGAAGAGCACTGTTTTTACTGTGTGTGTGTGTGTGTGTGTGCGTTATAGACTCCCCTCGGACAGAAAAGAAAGACATCAAATGTCCGACCCCGGGCTGTGACGGGACGGGTCACGTGACAGGCCTCTACCCTCATCACCGGAGTCTATCAGGATGTCCCCACAAAGTCAGAGTGCCCCCAGAGAGTGAGTCTGTTCTCATGTTACGCATCACTTCCTGAGGACATTAGACACATTTCCTCCCTTCACAGCAGTACAATACAAACAGAACAAATACAATTAGTGATAACAACACTGTGTTCATTTTCAGCCCATGAATATTCATGCCATACTAATGATCAAGGTTTAGTTGTACAGAGACTGAGGGATAAAAGATTACATGGTGATTGCTTAACTAACCCGCCTGTATAATAATCAGCACATTTTTGCATAGAGAGATTACATTCTATTTCAATGTGTGCTACAAACATATCTAATAGTTATTTCTTTTCTGTGATAGAAAATGCAGGATTCTTCAGTTTTTAAAGAAAAAATTTAAATATATATACAGTGTGTGTGTGTGTGTGTGTGTGTGTGTTAAATAAACAATCATTTTATATTTAATGGGTATATTATTATGGCTTTAAACCTTTTTATTTATATCTACTTAATTTTTTTTGTTCAAATTTTAAGAGGGTTGTGAAGAAGTGTTACATTTGCCAGTATTTATGACAGATAGACTTTATATATGCAACAATAAAATTTAAATCAAGGAGTTCTGCTTTGCAACTTACTTAAAATAAATCATATATATTTTTGTATTTTTTTAAATATAATTTTTATGTATATTCTTTAGAGATTAGGTTTTTCAAATAATTTGGTTCTGATGTCATTTATTTTGAGATTTTTGAGATTCTTTATTTAGTTGTCTAATCACTATTTGAGTATTTTAATTCAGAAGCAATTCATTTCTTTTGCAACTAACTTGTTGTCAAAGGCTTAGCCAAATTTTCCTCCAAAATGTGAAAAATTATTTTGGGGAATGTAATAAACATTTCATAAATATGATAAACATTTATTAAACATAATTTGGAGAAACGTCCTTTTTCAAGATTTAATTTAGTCAAAATTGTCCCTACTTTAAAAAAAATATCACAAATATGAAGTATGTAATTTCCATGTCAATTATGTACATAAATGTATTTCATGTATTTACTACTTATCTTGGAAACCATAATGCTGTAAGCTGAAAGTAAAAAATATTTAAAAAAAACTTTTTTTAAAGAACTTTTCAGCCGTCAACACAACTGAGGTTTGATTTCGTGTGGTATGCAAATTAAACATGCAATCCGGAAACAACTTTTCACTCGCTGTTTTCTCCATTTGAGAGTAGCACAACAAACAACCGCCATTAAACAGTGATGTGACAAAAGGAACAGAAAATGTAATTAAGTTTTTTTTCCCTTTTTTTCCTCCAATATGAAAGCATGTACTCCTAAACCAGAGGCAGCATTCTGCAAATCAAAGGACCCGCGGATGCAGCCTAAATAGACGGGCACATCCTCCAAACTAATTATGAGCAGAGTGAAAAGTTACTAAGGATACTGGATAGGACTTCAACAATATGTGTGTGTCTCTTAAATGGTAATCAAAATGTGTTTGTAGTCGTGATGTTTTTGCATGTTCATACTTGAAAGGAGACACAATTTCAACTAACAAGGAATCACATGGAAAACTTTAGTTAGCATAAACAGTAAAAACAGCTGCAGTACAAGCTTGTGTGAATTCCACAAAATGCAGAATTTTTATTAAATGTAATTTCTCTTCTTTATCTGTAAAGTTACATATCTTGTTTTTTGTTGTTGTTTTTTTTCAGTCCTTGCCATGCACGAAAACGTCCTTAAATGTCCGACCCCTGGCTGTACAGGAAGAGGTCATGTCAACAGTAACCGTAGCACGCATAGAAGGTGAGCTTGTTTTTTTTTACACAAATTACACTATTCATTTCTATACAAACCTCCTTTCTCATTGTAAGCAGATTTGCATCTATATTTTGCAGCAGGGAGGCAGTCGCTGGGGGAAAATGATGTTGTTTATAATAATGTTACCAGTCGACTAAACTACATTGGAGATTTATCCCCAAAAATATATCATAGTATTACTCTATTTTGCACTGTTGCAATGCTTTAAAGCAGCTATAATGCCCTTTATCCACGTCTTGATTTTGTTTTGGGGGTCTACTAATAGTTTTTCATGCTTGAATATTTCAAAAACACAATATATTTTAGATATTTGACATTTTTGCAGCTCCTCTCTTCCCAGTCTGTCAGTAACGCTCTGTTTAGTTCCTGTCTCTATGAAGCCCCTCCTTTTGAATAGCACACTGTGTTCTGATTGGTCGGCTGGACCAGTGTGTTGTGATTGGTCAACCGCTTCGAGCGTGTTTGGGAAATGTCCCGCCCCTTTTCCAAAACCGCGAGTTTCAACACCCTACTAACTCACTCAACCAGGCCCCGCCCCTTTATTTACATGTGGATTTATCTAGATGAATAATATTGTGACCTTTTTCATGCTCAAACAGCAACATTACACACTAAAGTAAATTGAAAATGTATAAAGCATAATAGATCCCCTTTAAAACATCAGACATGTTAATTTACCCTCGTTAATGAAACTTAAGTAGACTATAAAACAATGTGATGTTTATCGCATAGAAACTATCAGATTATTTTTAATTGAACAATTACTATTTAATGCACCCAGATTCAATTAAAAGGAAGTTGTTAACCCAGAGGAGGCCAGGAGGAGACTAACTCCACACTTCTGATGTCTGTTTTCACACAGTCTCTCAGGCTGCCCGATAGCGGCTGCAGAAAAGATCTCCAAACCGCAGGAGGAGCCCACAAAGTGCAGACAGAGCGCAGACAGAATGGCCAGGTAATAAACCTTCATCTTGATTCCTTTACAATCAAGCAGGATCAAAATAAGTTCACAAATCATCTTTCTGAAGGATAATAATAAACATCTCATCTGTTCAGACATCCTACTAACTATAAGTAACTTTGCAACTACATGTCAACTAACTCTCATTAGGGCATTAGAAGATAATAGAAGATAGCAGATGTTAAGTACACAGTCTACTAATACTCCAATGAGAGTTAGAGTGTGTTCACACTTGTCATGTCTGGTTTGATTAAAACGAACCCTCGTGCGATTGCTCTGTTAGTGCGGTTCATTTGAATAAGTGTGAACGCTGCCATCTGAACCCTGGTGACACCAAAACAAGCGGACCGAGACGCTGAAAACATGGGTGTCGGTCCGCTTCCAAACGAACTCTGATGCGGTTCGAATGAAATATGAACGCAACATGGACCAAAGACATGTAAACCAACCAAAAGCAGGGCATGATGTCACTTGACGCGTCCCTAAAAAGGACAGAATGATCAATCATAACTGATTTTTCTCATCATAGTCGCGATGTTGCCCATCACAGTTCAGTACAGGACTGTCACATCAGAACCACGTCTCCTCACAGCAGATCTTCATGTGTGTGTGTGACGGAGGGATTCCTGCCGCTGTTTGACTCTTGTACACATTTAATAAGCTCTTCACACATTCTTCTGGAGCTTTTAAATATATAAATACACGAATGTCTTTTTTTTTATGGTAAAGAATGAGCAGCAATAAAAACATGTTTTAAAAATATTAGTGCAATTCTGAAGTCTTGATTTTTCCTTTATATTTAGACCTTTAGGAAACATGAAGAAATTTGACTTCACATACAGATTTGCTCATCCTATGGCAGCGTTGCAGGCCAGCATGGCCAAAGACATGGACAAGTACACTAAAGGCCATTTTGACTACGCCAGTTTTGACGCCCAGGTCTTTGGCAAGCAAGCTCAGATGGCATCCGACCAGAGTCACGAATCTTCACACTTTCCTGACTGTGAGTGTCTATTTTGTTTCAAATCAAAGGTTACCCAGCATGCACTGACATTACTGTTTAAAAAAAGAACTAGTTTTCTGTGTCATCGTGTGTGACTAGGTGCAGTCACTTGTATGCGCCATACAGTCTGCTCTTTACAATCTTTATGAAGAACCTGATTTAGACCAATAATCAACCCCCTAGAACACCCTAGCAACCACATAGCAACACTAAAAACCATTCAGAACACCGTAGCAACACCCTGGCAGTGAGCTTTCCCCATGAAAACACCATTCACATTTTGTAAAAATATATTCTATTTAAAAAAATATATATAATATAAAAAAATTCTCATAATATTATACCGGTATATTAATGATAGCTATATTTATATGTATAAGATGAAATGTGTTATATATTTTTCAGAAATACAGCTTAAATTGCAGAGAAAGCTATAACTAAGCCATTTGAAGGTTAATTGTAATAATATATATAAAAAATAGATTATATTATTAATATAATATTAACTGAACATTATATTAATATAATATCAAATTAACTTACAAATTGTCAACTTATAGTTGTCTCTGCATTATTTATATTTTATATATACAGTATATATATATAATTCAGTACATACATTTGTATTAATAATATTCACATGAATGTACTGAAAATGTACATGAAACTGATATTATGTCTGTGTATATAATATATATATATATATATATATATATTAGTGCTGTCAAATATACTGTATATATATGTATACACACACGCGCACACATGTCTGGTTTACTATCTTTGTGGGGACTCTCCATAGACTTAATGGTTTTTATACTGTACAAACTGTATATTCTATCCCCTTACACTAACCCTATCCCTAAACCTACCCATCACACACAACTGTCTGCATTTTTACATTTCCAAAAAAACCTAATTCTGTATGATTTATAAGCTTCTTTACCCATGGGGACCTTTATTTAGGTCCCCACTGTGACACAAGTCCCCATGAGTCTGTGTGCATTCAGATTGAAGTCCCCACCGGGATAGAAAAACATGAACACACACACACACACACACACATATATATATATATATACATAGATGCATTATATAATGAAAATATTTTTTTTATTAATAATATTTATTACAATACGGTATATATTATAACTGATCTTATATTGAAGAGATAGAGAGCAACTACAAATACACATCTATGTAGACAGGCAGCTCAAAAGAAATGATACATATATTGAAACATAATTTTTTAATTTTTATAAAACCTTAATTTATGTATATTTGTAACCTGTCTGTCTACAGAGATGTTGATCTGTAGTTGCTCTATTTGCATAACTCTCTCCCTGTCTCTTTTTACCTGAGCACTAACTCTGACTACCATTTCCAGCCGCTCAGTTCCCTTATTTTCTGGCTCCTGGTGGTCATATGATCATGCCCGGAGACAACAGCCCCATTTGCCATAAAGCCCAAAGCAACGCCCTCCAGTCCAACATGGCATCCGCAGCCATCCTCAACCTCTCCACCCGTTGCCGAGACAACAGCGAGGCCCTGCCCCCCAGCCGGCCCCTGGCATCATCCACAAAGGTAATCAAATTAGACCACTCAGAAAAAGGTATTTAATGTGGTCATTCTGAAACAACTGTGATTTGTGTATGAAAAAGAGGAGTAACATCAAAAGACACTTTTTGGCACAGAGAACTGTGTTGCCTCTGGTGGCACAACAACAAGAGAGTGGGAGCGTTTTTTCTTTTCCCCACACTGGCCCCTAAAGCTTTAATGTACACAAAGGAGAATTTGTGTAATCACATCAAAAAGATTTGGGAGGAATACAATCACAGCTTCCTTCTCTATGACAATTATAAGGCTTTTTGTAAAACATGTGGCCGTGCATTTTGATTTCTACTTGCTCTAATGGTAATGTTAGGGCTTTCTCTTGTTTGCAGGAGAGAGCGTGTTTTTTTTGTTTTTTTTTCACTGCAGATGGTCAAAGACATTTTGCTAAGTAATATATTATCCTAGATAAGCTCGCACAGATCCTTTGGCGTTGATCTCTAACAGACGATCTATGAGAAGTTGGATTAAATCAATTGGTTGAGGGATTAATAGACATCACTCTTTTATTTAAATTAAATAAGAAAAGTCTACATAGACCACCAGATTATGTATGTTACAGTGTGAATATGGATATCTGAATCAGTTTTACACTTGTGTTCTTTTATTGAGCCTCTTTTTTTAATAGAAAAAAACAAACTATTAATAAAAAAAATGGAAAGTGCTGTCAAAAATGTATTAGAAAGCATGTTGGAGTCTTGGCATAGCGGTTAGTGCATGTGGGAAAAGCATGTTTGAATCCAGCTTGCGACATTTCCTGTATTCTTTCTTCTTTTCTCTCAGACAAAAGAAAATCCCTCAAAAATTTGCTGTTATGATTAAATATAAATTCTTCTGGCTTTATACATTTGCAAAAGTATAAACATATTTTCTATTTAAAAAATATATATATATATTATTAATAATAATATTATATACAGTATAATGTATATAATATATATATATATATATATATATATATATATAAATATGATGAATGATAATAATATTAGTATTTTATATATATATACAGTGGTGTGAATAAGTTATTACCCCCATGCTAAAGTTGCCTAAAAAGAGGAATAAAAAATCATCTTTTGGAAATTGATCTTAATGCCTTAATTAGAAAAATGAGGAAAAATCCAACCTTTAAGGACACCAATTTTCTTTGTGTATGAATAATGTATCATAAATAAATAAATGTTCTTCCTTAAAATACAGGGTGCATAAGTCAGGCCCCCCCTATGTTAAATTCCCATAGAGTCAGGCAGATTTTTATTTTTAAAGGCCAGTTATTTCATGGATCCAGGATAATATGCATCCTGATAAAGTTCCCTTGGCCTTTGGAATTAAAATAGACCCACATCATCACATTCCCTTCACCATACCTAGAGATTGGCATGGGGTACTTTCCAAAAGATCATCTTTCAATGCAAATCAAACCAGCTATTAGGCAAACTGAAATAACACCATGCCAATCTCTAGGTATGGTGAAGGGAATGTGATGATGTGGGATATTTTAATTCCAAAGGCCAAGGGAACTTTATCAGGATGCATATTATCCTGGATCCATGAAATAACTGGCCTTTAAAAATAAAAATCTGCCTGACTCTATGGGAATTTAACATAGGGGGGGCCTGACTTATGCACCCTGTATTTTAAGGAAGAACATTTATTTATTTATGATACATTATTCATACACAAAGAAAATTGGTGTCCTTAAAGGTTGGATTTTTCCTCATTTTTCTAATTAAGGCATTAAGATCAATTTCCAAAAGATGATTTTTTATTCCTCTTTTTAGGCAACTTTAGCATGGGGGTAATAACTTATTCACACCACTGTATATATATATATATATATATATATATATATATATATATATATATATATATGTATACAAACTGCGCAATGTTCTTCAGAAAAATCATCCAGGTCCTGCAAATTCTTTGTTTTTTTTCCAGCATCTTTTGCATATTTGAACCCTTTCCAGCATTGACTGTATGATTTTGAGGTCCATCTTTTCACACTGAGGACAACTGAGAGACTCATACGCACCTATTTAATAAAAGTTCAAACATTCATTGATGCTCCAGAAGGAAACACGATGCATTAAGAGCCTGGGGGGTGAAAACTTTTGAACAGGATGAAGATGTGTAAATATTTTTTTTTTTTATCATACTTTATTTTTCCATTTAGCACTACTTCCATTCAGAAGCAACAGAAGATACTTAAATGTTTCCCGGATGACAAAATAAGTCAAATTCACCCTGATCATCAAATTCAAAAAGTTTTCACCCCCTGGCTCTTGATGCATCATGTTTCCTTCTGGAGCATCATGGAATGCTTTCACCTTTTATGTAAAATATCTTATTCAGACCAGCGCTAAATAAAAATAACATGCATTTTGTATGATCCCTCTTATTATGTTAAAATAATTAACATTTAACAGATCTCCAAGGCGTATGTAAACTTTTGACCACCTGTATATATCGGTAAAACAATAAGACAGTTTTATATGAAAAAAATAAGCACTCATTGTTATGTAATTGAAATGTAATTTTACTTTTATTGCTCTACTGTGCTAAAATAATGAAAACATCAATACAGGATCCTAATGCTGTATATTTTAGTAATAATAATTTATTATAAACATGGCGTACAGAATGATCCATCCAGTTTGGTAGCTTCGATCAAAGCTTTCAAGTTTTCCTCATAGAAGCAGAGAGATAAAAGTGAGAGAAACTCGCAGAAGTATGGCGTGAAACGCTTCACACACCTACACACCACAGGCCAGCACGCAGTGGGCAGAGAGCAGGTATACTGTACAAACTGAGCGAATGAATAAAACAGTGTTAGCCGATCTGTCATCTGCTGATGTCTGCATCGAAATGTCTTTATGCATGTTAAGTATCTTGATTGCTCTGTTTGTGCCAAGTCGCTTGCTTTTTTCGAAGAATACGGCTTAACGTCTTGCAGCGTTTCAGGGAAGTGTGGGAGAAAGATGTCACCTCACTTGTTTCTGAGGCTGGAGAGAATGTCATCAGATGGGAAAAACTCACATCGTGCGCAGGGATCAACTCTATAGGTGCGCTTTAGCTGGTTAGAGAGAGTGCCATATTTGGTTTGTAATCTGAATTATCACGATTAGTTCCTGATAAGCTCTCCTTTGTTTGCTACCGAGGGGAGTAATTGGTGTGACACATTTTTAAGCAGTTAACGAGTTGCATAAAAACTCTTCGCAATAACACAAATTCACACACCAGCACATCTGTTGGTGATATAACTTCAGCTTTACAACTCACACTTAATGCTTGTGACCTAAAACCACTGTGGTTGACATCTTGAAACCAGTTGTCACTAGGAAAAAAAACTTGAAGAATAGGGCCCTATGAAATCCTTTTTTTTTTTTTTTTTTTTTTCTGGATTCTGCTTTTTTGGGACTCGCATGTTTTTTGACAATTACATGTTTAGAGAATGTAAAATGCGTTTTTATATATTATTTTTCTCAAATTCCGTTCTATTTTTTACCAAAATATGTGTTTTCTGTTTTAAGTTTTCTGGATTCCATTTTAATGTTTTAATTATTTTTTTTATAAACAATATTTATAAACGTGTAATAAATTGAACTCATAAAAACAACAATTAATTAAAACTTTTTGTAAAAATGTATTTCTATGAAATGTTTTTTTTTTCTTTTTTTTTCAGAAATAATATATATTTTTGGTAAGATTTGGGGTTGGTAAGATTTTTTTAAGTCTTTTTAGGCTGCATTTATTTGATCAAAATACAGTAAAACAGTAATATTGTGAAATATTATTATAATTCTAAATAACCATTTTCTATTTAAATATATTTAAAAATGTAATTTATTCCTGTGATCAAAGCTGAATTTTCAGCATCATTACTCCAGTCTTCAGTGTCACATGATCCTTCAGAAATCATTCTAATACGATGATTTGCTGCTCAAGAAACATTTATTATTATCAATGTTGAAAACAGTTGTGCTGCTTTATATTTTGTGGAAACAGTGATACCTTTTTTCAAGATCCTTAGATGAATAGAAAGTTCAAAAGAGCCACATTTATTAGAAATAGGAGTCTTTTGTAACATTATAATTGTATTTGCTGTCACTTTTCAATCTATTTAGTGAATCCTTGCTGAATAAAAGTATTAATTTTTTTACAGAAAAAAATCTTTCTGACCCTAAACGTTTGAACGGTAGTATTGATGGTTAGTTACTAACCGAAAGTGTCTATCCAAGTTTTTTTTTATTGTTTTTTTTTTTCCAACCATTTTATTGTCTGCCAGGCAAAAATTGTATGTTCGATTGGTTAAAAAAGTAAAAGCACACACGTTTGTAACAATCTACACATTTTGTGTATCATGTCTGTCGCACAAACAAGGATGCATGATTTACGCACATAATTGTAATATTGAGAGTTAGGGGTTCGTTCAAGTCTCTAACCCCTAACTTTTCTAGTTCTAGGCTTGGAAGACAAGTTCAAAACACTATTTTCTGGTAGAAAAGTGCTCTAGCTATCAAAGGTTGGTAATCTACAAGGCTTTTTATCTTCCTTTTCATTCAGGACTCGCTCATTGAGGTAGACGAGAACGGAACGCTGGATTTAAGTATGAAGAAAAAGAGAGAAAAGTCGAGAGACTCTCCTGTGATGCCAGTGTTGGGAGACGCTCTTTTCACCCCACCTGAACACTCTCTAGCCAAAGCTGCGGGTCTCCAGATCTCCCCGGCCATCTACCACGTCCTCTATGAGCGGGATGCCTGGGACACGCCGCTGAACTTCAGCAAAACACCCGTGCAACAGGACAAAGAGGTGAGATAGAGGCAGCTACTGTAACCTTTACTGGCACACTCTTAAACATAAAGGATCCAAAAGGGTCCATAGAAGAACCATTTCTTGTTCCTCAAAGAACCTTTCAGTGAACAGTTTTCTGTTACTCTTCTTGTAAAGTAACATTTAAAGAATCTTTTTCCACTATAAAGAATGCAAAGGTTCAAGAAGTTAAAGGTTCTTCACAGAACCATCGATTTAAGATAAATATTTTCAAGTTTATACATGAAGACGAATGTTAAAGTCTGAGTAATATATTGTGTAAAATCTTAAGGTTTAAATGCATCACATATCAAATGTTTGGGCTTGGTAACATGTTTAAATGTTCACCAAGGCTGCATTTATTTGATCAAAAATACAGTAAAAACTGTAAAGTTGTGAAATATTATTACCATTTCTGTTTGAATATGTCTTAAAATGACATTTATTCCTGTGATCAAAGCTGAATTGTCAGTCTTCAGTGTCACATGATCCTTCAGAAATCACTCTAATATGATGATTTGATGCTCAAGAAACATTCCTTCTTATCATCAAAACATTGAAAACAGTTTTGTTAAGCAGCACAAATGTTTTTAACATTTTGATTAAGAAGAAATGTTTGTTGAGCATAATTTGTTTTTGTGGAAATTTTTTTTTTCAACAGCATTGATTTGAAATAGAAATATATTGTAAAATTATAAATGTCTTTACTGTCGCATTTAATCACTTTAATCCGTCCTTGCTGAGTAAAAGTATTAATAATTATTTTATTTTTTTTATTCTTAATGGGTCATTTTATGAAACTCTAATAGAATTGGGTGGAAAATGAATAGTCTAATTATAATAATGTCCCGAGGAAACCACATCCAGTGTCTAAATGCTCTTTGACTTTGGTGTACGCTACATTAGGAACATATTCAACATAAAAACCCTTAACTTTCTATTTATTCATCTAAATTATCTCCTTCAGTCAGCCACAACCTTAAGGCACTCTGTCTGTTATGAAGTGCCGCTCTGACACGAAAGCAAAATTGAAAAGAAATGTTCCTGAAAAGCTGGCAAATTTTCATCCTCTTTGGAGTCAAAGAACAAACCCAGACAGTTGTGTGTTTGTCTGATTCTCCCTCTGACATCTGGTTCTCAAAGATACTTACCTTATAAAAAAAAATGTAAGTAAATCCAAAGGTTTAACACCACGCTCTCCCATCATAAACACTACGAGGGATTACATCGGAGTTTAAATGGATATATGTTTTACTAAGCATACTTGAGCAGAATCCAACCTCTCACAGACTATTAGGGGCTGTGTGCTTACAGAATGATTTTTTTAAGTGACCATCGTGACTTGACTTCAACATTTCACAGTGTTTTGACACTTCTCTTTGTCTTGTAGATGGATCAGTTGGAGAAGGCGTCTCTAGAGGATAAAGCGTACAATGGGGACGCTAACATGGCAAGTGCAAAAAACAAGATGCTCATAAGAGACACCAAAAAAGAGCTGATGAGGTACTAAAATGATTCGGATAGCATGCTAAAGAACGTATTCATTATTAGCGCATGTCTAGTAGGTCATAGACTGTAAGCATTCATTGGTCATTTATCTGGTGCGTATTCTCTTTGCAGTTGTCCGACACCAGGTTGTGATGGCAGTGGTCATGTGACAGGAAATTATGCGTCGCACAGAAGGTGAGGAGCCCCGTCCACCGACACCCTCTTAATTTTTCAAGCAGCAAAACCATCTTGAAAAATATACATTATGTCTCCTGCTTTTATTTTTGTAGTGTATCTGGTTGCCCATTGGCTGATAAGACCCTGAAATCACTAATGGCTGCTAATTCTCAAGAGCTAAAGTAAGAATTAGCTAAAGTTTCAATTCAATAAAAAAACTGTGCAATGGTTTTAAAGTTACAGAGAAGTTAAAGCAATAATGTAAGCGTAATGTGATGATGTAAATAAATGGGGAAAAAAAATATGAATCGTGAATCATAAATTTCGATTTCTTTTAAAGGTGCCCGACTCCTGGTTGTGACGGCTCGGGTCATGTGACGGGAAACTATGCATCTCATAGGAGGTGAGCGTCTCAATAATCATAGACTTCAATGAAAGATGAAATTGTTTTGACATTTTTTATGTTTCTGCACGACATAAATGGTCATGCTTTTTATTATAACATTACGTCTTATTTTTACACCAGTGTTTTCTCATTCAAGATGTTAGACTATAATAGATTTTAGACATCAGACCACACAAAGGCACTCAGTGGGTTAAATTTAAAACCGGGTAATCGCCAAAGAGTGAATACTTTGTGGCATTTCACGGCTGTTGAGGTAATGACCCCTGTTCAATGGCAACACGACAGGTGTCAGAGCTTGAAGCATCACGCAGTATCTTTCCCACACACACGTCTGCACGCTTGAACTTCTGAAAGGTTCGTCACATATGTCATGTTCCTTCCCAGTCTGTCAGGATGCCCTCGTGCCAGGAAAGGAAGCTTGAAGCTCACGCCAAGCAAAGAGGACAAAGAAGAGCCGGAGATGAAGTAAGACACCACCAAAAACAATGACATCCAAAACGTTTGGTGTTTACTTTAAAGTAGATGTGTTTACTAAAGCATCAACATTTGACTGAAAGATTCTTCTTTGTTGGATGAAAGATTTAAAATTTTTAACCAAATATGGTAGATATGGTGTTGCATTGTTTTGTTTGTTTTGAAGTATTAGAGTCCCCCCCCCCACAAATTTTGAAAACTATTACTGAATTATTTAAATTAAATTAAGCTAGCATGAAATGTAGCTAGGTTTAAACGTATGAAATGCCTGGATCTTGACTATAAAATAGTGATTTGTTAGTTTATTTTAAAAATGTTAACTAATGAGAATATTTTTAAAAATGAAGTGCTAAAAACATAATACACTATAAAAAGTTGCTGCCTTAAATTTTTAAGTACAATCAACTTGGATTTTTAAGTCATTTCAACTTAAATTGCGTTAAACTGACTTAGAAATGAGTTAAATCTTGTATAACTTATAAAAAAAAATAGCTTAACTTATTTTGATGAGTTAAAGCTACGGAAAAACATATGTTGTTATAACTTATTGATCATATAATTTTTTTTACAGTCTATTTGCCACATTGTTATCTTATATATAAAATAAATATGATTTTTTTTTAATGATCCTACTTTCATTGATAATTTGTAGAAATTTAATTTATGGTATTATATTTATGGAATGTGAAAATATCTTTTTTCTTTTCTTTTTTAAATCAAAACAACCTATACAACTAACCTTTGAAACAAATCATTTGCACAGCGACGCACATGAAAATAATACTGTAAATGTTGTTTTGGGGGATACTGTATTCCTGAATACTAGATGAAAATGTTTCCTAGAATGTGCGTTTCCTAGAAATACCGTTTCAAAAATAATAATAATAATCTTTTTAATTCAGGGAGCTCAAAACTCTTTCCTCGTTTTCCTGTAAGATCTCATTTAATTACAATTAATGCAGGAGTTTGCTCTTTAAAAACATAATACTATGGAGGGAGAAAAAAAAAATTTAATTGAATTGATTCCAGCTTTAAATCCGAAGTATAACCCAGAGTGACAGGGCTTTCCTACTTTTGCATCTGGGCTAGTATTTTATTTTTAATTACTAATGCAAAGACGAGAGCTTAGCAATTAGACGGTAGCAGGTCCGCGCACATTAAAAGGAGGAACGGAGAGGCAGAGAAATGCACGGGTGGAGAAACGGAAAGCAGACCCTGGTTACATCTGTAATGTGGCTAGATTATTGTAAATCATCGGCCATATGGCCCATCTCTGTTGTTCCGCGGTCAGGAACGCCATTCCCAGAGCTGGACCCGACGGCCAGTGTTGGAGTCGTAATGTTGTCTTGTTTTAGTCAGTGTATTAGAGCCAAAACTGCCATAACAACCTTTCCCATATAGGCCTGCAGACAAGCTATTTGTACTATCCCAGATAACCTCTCACCTCTTCCAATATGGGCTATCAGGGAAAGGGTCAGCCACCTCCAAATCATGTGCTTTTTCCCCCCTGTGGAGGACGCACAACAATTATGTGCAATTTATGTCATTCCATTACTGACCTAGGGGGAAAGTGAGCAGCAAAATAAATTGGCCAACTCCTCACCACTCTAGTCTTCAACTTGCTGGGGCTTATGTTTTCCATCGGCGGCACGTTAACCTCCATGCCCGTAATTATTTACTGGAGTGCGTTTCAGACTTTTTTTTGCGTGTGCCGATAGAATTATTCCAGCCCTTTTTTTTTTCCCCTCTCTGTTTTGAATACATTTTTAATCAGCATTTCACAGGATTAATCTTCTTAATGGTATTTGAAAAGTCTTCCAACTCTGCAAATTGGGGGTGGGAAGGGGTGTTTACAGACAACATGACAAATGCGCGACGGTGGTGTGGGGAAGTTTTAGCCATCAAATTATCAACTGAATGTATATGGGCTCATTTGTGTTTAGGAAGACTCTCGGTTATAAGCTCTGAAACTAGTTCAATCTCAAATAAGAGATTATCTTGGACAATCACAGTGTTACCCTGTTGAGTTTAGGACAACAAAAGAGGGCTGCGCAGGGGGTTTAATTTAAGCATGTCGAGGGGTCAGGTCACATCTGTGTGTGTTTTGGCATAGTGACCCAGAAATCTATACCAAACAACCTTTGTGATGCAGATTACGACCTTGTTCCCTCCGAACAAGTTATTAAAAATACAGAAATCTACATATGGACGCTCATAAACTCAGTCTAAAATGTTTATTAGTAGTATAACTCTCACCAGTTTAGTCTTCAGTGAAATCAGTGTATCCTGTTGGTAATGATATGTTTCCTTTCTCAGGTGCCCGGTGTCAGGGTGTGACGGGCAGGGCCACGTGTCGGGTAAATACACGTCCCATCGCAGCGCTGGAAGCTGTCCCATCGCCACCAAGCAGCAGAAGGAGAGCTCCATGAACGGGTCGGCCTTCTCCTGGAAGATCTGTAAACAGGAGCTTCCTCACTGCCCTCTGCCCGGCTGCAACGGCCTGGGTCACGCCAATAACGTCTTCGTTACACACAGGAGGTGAGGAAACTACACCATAACCCCGAACCTCAAGTCTGATATTAAACTTTAAACTTATCTACTGTATAATGAGGCCTCTTCACACATTTATTGTGAACTGAGGTATCTATGAGTTTTGTACTTATTATTATATTATATTATATGCAAAATCCAATAGGGTTTATCAGAACCCTCACCCTGCGGCATCTATAATATATTATATATTACCAATATATTATATTATATTACCGGTATATTATATTATATAAAAATGTTAAATTATATAATATAATAATATATATAAAAAAATATTTTAAAAGTGTATATATATATATATATATATATATATATACACACAAATAAATATATATATATATTTTTTTTTATTTATTAAAATATATAATATAAACATGTTATATATAATATATATAATATATATATATATATGTGTATTTAATATATTATACTAATATATTATCACATTATATAACACACACACACATATGTGTGTGTGTGTTATATTAAAATAAATATTAAATATACAAAACAAATATTCAAATACACAAAAATACAGGTTGACTTTTTTTCAATGTGTAAAAATATGTATCAAAATATGAAAAACATGTAGTTTGGTATACATGGTATACATATTACAGAACTGACTATATTATATTATATTATTTCCAATATTATTACTACAGACTCTTAATGAATTATTTGATCGCCCTTACAGTATCCAATAGTGTTTTCATTTTATGTAACACAGATTGTTCATGCTTACATGGTACTTATTATCTAATGATTCCTAAAACTAGATTATAATTAATGTAGTTATAATTAAGAAAGATAGCTAGTACTGATCTGTAGAGTTTGTGTTTTGTCCATTTACAGTTTGTCAGGATGTCCACTAAACGCCCAGAGCATCAAGAAGAAGCTCTCCGAGGAGGAGATGATGACCATCAAACTCAAAACCAGCAGTGGTGAGCAACTCAAGTGCTTTAAAGGAACAAAAGAGCTCAAATCTTTGACCTGCTAATATTATCATCATAGTGTGAGGCTGTGCTTGTCTCCTGAGATAGAGAAAAATAGAGAACCTGAGTAATTTAGCACAGATTTTGGAAGACGCGTTTATTAATTTGCCTGGTTTGTCTCTTGACAATCAGGTATTGAGAACAATGAAGACATGCAGCACTTGGATCATGAAATAAAGGAGCTAAATGAATCCAATCTGAAGATAGAAGCAGACATGATGCAGCTCCAGACTCAGGTAAATAACATTTACGCTTGTGTGAGAAGATTGTGGGTAATGTAGTTTCAGCGCTAAAGACCTTGTTTTCTGCTTTTAAAACAGATTTCATCCATGGAGTGCAACCTAAAGACCATCGAGGAGGAGAATAAGATAATTGAGCAGCACAACGACAGTCTGTTGAAGGAGTTAGCGCGTCTCAGTCAAGCACTTATCAACAGTCTCACAGATATACAGCTGCCGCAAATGGTGAGACGCTGAAACATTTACACCGACATGCTCTATTTTACAGCGCACTTACAGTGTACTTACCTAAGAAAGTATAAAGCACTGCATTAAAACTGTGCTAGCTTGATATTAGCCACCACTGTTATTAAAACAAGACCATTTATCTGCCAGACGAGGTTAATTTAATATTGGTAACACTTTATTTTACAGTGTACTTGTTAGATATGTTACATGTACTTACCATAGTAATAACCGTAAATTATGTATAATTACATGCAACTAACCCTCAACCTAATCCTATAGTAAGTACATGTAGTTAATTACTATTACTCAGTGCTTAAATATATAATTACACTGTAACAATGGCACCTTAGAACAAAGTGTAACCTTAATTTGAAATGAATTCAATATGATTTGAGCTAAAATGTTGCATGTTTGTAAGGGATGACATCATGAAACACACATTTAGGAGTTACTGAACTGAATGTTCTTGAATCTGTTCCAGGGTCCGATCAATGAACAGAACTTCGAAGCGTACGTGAACACACTGACGGATATGTACAACACTTCAGAGCACGAGTACTCGCCGGAATGCAAAGCCTTATTGGACAGCATCAGACAGGCCATAAAGGGCATCCACGTATAAGGCCAAACTCTTTCACGGAGAGGCTGGCTTTGTGATCCGTGCAAGATATGTCTCGTTTAAATTACTCCATTCCATGACAAATTCATTGCACTGAAAAATACCAGCCACATTTTTACAGCTCAATGTTCCTCGTAGTGAGATTTGACCTCCTTTTGCACTTATTTATTTCCTATGGTTTGCTTGACTTTATTCCGTATTGTTCTTTTGCGTGTTGTTATATTATTGCTGCATATTATCTTTATTCATCGGTACTATTTATCTCACAGTAATCTTATTTATTGATTTATTTATTGCTATCATGAATTGTTGTTTTTTTGTTTCATTTCTGCAACTCCAAAAATGCAAGGCCAATCTTACATATTGTGAATTTTATTTATTTTACATTTACCTGCGTTTGTTGTACAATAACTGGGAGTTTTAAATCGCCGGCATTCGTGATGATGATTTTATTTTCTTCTTTCTTTTTTTAATAACAGATGTCAAATGTATGAATAGTCCACTTGCGCCACCTGTTGGTGAGCAGCTGTCATTGGTCTATTAGAGCCGTATGGGTTATTTTTTTAATGTGCGCCACTGATTAATCCACAAATGACATCATTTGTTTTCATGCATAAATCTGTATTCTAATAAGCGAGCGAAAAGAAAACTATTTTATCCGATTCACTCTTCGAACTACTGTACAGTGACACTTGACCAGAGCAAAAATCAAACCATCCACGAAGAAGGACATCATAATTTATTTCCGTTTCTGCTCATATGAACTGCCTTTGGTGTGCACATCCATGTGTGTGCATATATGTGCCTAAATGTAAATGAGTACATGGAATATGATATGTTTTGTGGTAGAGCAGTATTATGTGAATGGTGATTCATTTTATTCTGCAGTATATTTATTTTCTGAATGAAAAGCCTCTAAACTCTGTTTACCTACAGTTTATACGCCATTTTAAGTATGTAACGATATTCTTGTAAAAAAAAAACGAAAAAAAAGAAGTGTTTTATGATCGGGCACAATACGTTTTTTTTATTCTTTTCTGAACTCCTCAACCTTTGGCTTCTTCTGTGAGACAAACAGTGGGCTCTCAAATAGGTTTTATGGATGATCTTTTCTCAAAGCACTTCATGTCTTTAACCCACTAAAATATCAAAATGGACAAATCCACAGCGAAACAACTGCAATAGAGAGTAAGCTTTCCATTATGACACTTGATTTAGCGTTGAAATGCAGGGCCGAGGTCACGGCGCTGTTATTGGAGGCATTTGCTGTGTTACGATCACAAACGGCCTTGTTCTGGCACTTTTAAAGCTTTCTCTAACACTAAACGAACCCTTTTTGCACTTTTATTCTGTTATTTAGTGTTTCTTTTGAGCGGGTCACAAATGTGTGGTCAGTGCAGGTTTAACCTAGTTTTACATTGTCCATTGATGATGTCGAAAACTGTGTTTAAGCAAATTTACAGGTCATTCAGAGGAAATAAAAACACTATATTATCTGACCAAATGAGCATAATGAATTGTACTGAATCCATTTTTGTTTGAAATCCTAAATTACTGTATAATTTAGAATTACTTCTGTTTAAATGATTTGTAATTGCTAATTTTTAATTTATAAACCACAGATTGTTTGCTCAGGAAGTTTTGTGAGGAATATTTATTTTTTCTTTTTTGTATTTGATGTTTTGTAATGTGATAAGGATTTTTTTGTGTGAAAGAAAAAAATAGTAAAATACACGGTACTGTAAATTATTTAGTTTGTTTTTGTTTTTAAAAAATGTTTGTTTTTTTAGTTCAAGTAGTTTGTATATCAGGATTTCCTTACACTTTTAAAATTTCATAAGCAGTACTGCGCTGTGTTGTACAGTTTGTGTATGGTAGAAATAAACTATTGAAATGATCTGCATAGTGCTCATTGTACAGTGGCTCATATAAAAATATAATTTATATAAAAGCTCGTATAAAAATATGTACTTGATATAGAGTGCATTTAACATGTCATTGAACTTATTTTACTCACCATCAATATTTTAGGTTCAAATTTACATAAATGTACATTTGGTGGTTTCACATGCACTGTAAAGTATGACAAATAAGTTATGACAACATATTGCTTCAACTCATCAAAATAAGTTAAGCAAAGTTATACAAGATTCAGCTTTTTAAAGTCAGTTGACTGTAATTTAAGTTGAAATGACAAACATACAAGTTAAGGCAGCCACCTTTATATATTTCTATATACTATAATATATTTTTTAAAGTATAAATATTCCATGTAGTCTCATATTTCATTCATAAAACTGCATACACTGTAGAAATAAAAAAAAAATGTCTGAAAAGTTTTAATGAAATAGTGTGGAAACACTTTTGCTCCTCACAGACGCTTGTTGTTGTAATGGCTTCTTGATTACATCAGAGCTCAAAACCAAATCCAAAATTCTACAATGTATTATTTTGCAAATCTAATTGAACAGCGTGACATTTGAAACGTTGCTATTCAACTTTTCATGACATTGCAAGACAAAAAATATTTTCATATCTACCAGCAGATGGCGTATGGATCCAACTTTGAGACGCAACAGATTTCAGGCCTTCATTCCTGCATTCGAAACACTTACACTAAGTATCGAAAAAGAGAAATTAGACAATGAATTTAGTATCAGCAAATACAAAGGTAAATAAATAAGTTTGAACCAGTTTGACTGGTTTAATTACGAGACAATGAGATCATTAAAGAGATTTTAAGATCCTCTCGAGACACTGCATATCCCTGTTGCCCTGATATGAAATCGGTGCCTTGTAAATATGGTGTTTGGTTTGTTACCCTTTGTAATTACCTTTTTATAATTATCAGAGCAATTTATCCTTGCCTTTGATGCGTTGATGATGATGCAAATTATATCTAATTATCTGAAATGAGGTACAGCTTTCCTGTTGAACGTCACCTATAGAAACAAAACCAACAATTACTAAATGATCCGTGACAGACTTGCACAGCAAGTGTGTGTTGTCTTGATTTCGCTTAACTTTAACCCTGACCCTGACACATACACTCGATTGAATCTCACAGTGAACATGTCAATCTCACAGTGAACATGTCATGCTCACGGCGAGTTACAGAAATATTATAAATATCAGAGGGGAAAAGCAGGGATGCTGCTGGCCTATCTTTGGGCTTTGGCTAATACTAATACAGCCACTCCAGGGCAAACTGTAATACTATCTGTCCTCATTAGCAAACGCTGCATAGGAATGAGTTTAACTTTATTTAACAAACTTTTGAATGCACCAATACTCACACAGATGTAAATGAAACCATCCTGCTGTATGCGTCCACCTGGACACCCAATATTTTGATACCTGAAATGATTTTCTCATTGCGTTCATCTTTAGGTTTATCTAATCTTTGTTTTCACATTTAGTTTGATCTTTTTCTTTGTACCACTGGTTTACATACATGAGGATACTATAAACTTCTCTTGCTGTAATACAAAAATAATTATGACAACTGAACTGACAAACCCCAATTCAAACTTTACCCACTAAAGGATAGGGTTAAAAAAACTAACTAAATAAAATATTACAAACATTATATACACATTTATATACATATAAAAATTGGTTTTATTTAATATAATAAACGATTATGTGTGTGCATGTGTGTTTATTGTATTAAAGTTTTTTTATTATTGTATTTATATATATATATATATATATATATATAATAGTTATTCTCTAAATAATAGACTGTTATTAAATACTTTATTACATTATTATACTAATGTAATACATAGCTGAGCATCTGTCATATACTGTACACACATAAGAGTATATATTAAACAAAACAATTTGTATTATTGTAAGTAATATTTATTATCTTTTATTTAATTATATAATAGACTTTTATTTAGTACAATAAATTAATACATTATGTATGCAATAAATAGAAATAGTTTGATGACAAAATTCACAGCTAAGTAAACTCTCTCTTTCACACACACACACACACACACACACACACACACACACACACACACACACACACACACACACACACACACACACACACACACACACACACACACACACACACACACACACACACACACACACACACACACACACACACACACACACACACACACACACACACACACACACACACACACACCCCATAATTTAATTATCATTAAAATATCAGCAAGTAGTTTTAAAGAAGTTGCATCTTGCATCTGTCTTTGTTGATCTTTATATGCATTCCAGGAGGGCAAAGTTTGCTATGCATTTTAGGGTTAAAGGGGAGTTTGATATGACCCCTTCCTTTGAGATCATTTTACCCATAATTCCACTGGATGAAAGTGCTGTTACATATTGCCCATGTTGTAGAGTTTGAACATCATGGTCTGATGTTTCCAAAACCTGATCGGGAAAGACATATTACACAGTCAATCATGTTGGAGCATCGTCCTCTAGTTGAAACGTAATATCCATATTAATGGACAGTAGACACATGCTAATTTTAAAGTGGTTTCATAATAGTAATTTCCCAGAGTTTGACAAAGTGGATCTTACAGGGGAATGAGGGATCAACAGTCTATGGGAAAATAAAAAGATGTCATCATGGTAAATTAATACTGTTTTCCAGTCAGACTGAGACAACTGACATATGGCAAATGCTACCAACAGAACTCTTAATCAGTCCTATATATATATATATATATAAATGCCAGACAGCAGGTACATTTGTGTTCAAACTAATTTGGCATGCAATGATGCAACCATATAGGCACATGGTGGGTGTTTTGGATGTAAACAAGAAGGCATGCTTGTTCTTTTCTATGAGTAACTGAGGTTTAAGTGCTTCTGAATGTTGACCCACTGTCAACAGATTACACTGCCAAAAAAAGATCTTCATAAATCAATCTACTGTAACACATATAGACCCATGACCCCAGCTGCTCAAATATAACCACTGATTCATCGCTAAACCGAGTAATCATTGGGTTGACGTTGAGGGTTGTAAAAAAAAATTGCTCATATGGGTTCTAAATGTCTTTTACAAGATCATTTGTAAAGGCAGCCACCAGTTTTTTCTTAGAAAAGCTTTTTTCACTGATGTTTCGACATGTCCCGCCTTCTCTTGTTATGATGGCGACGTCATATGAACGACTCCTAAACCGTCCAATCCCTGACCGCCTACTTGGGCTTCTAGCCAATCCTGGCTTAGGAGGCGGGACATGTGTGAATACAGAGAGGAAAAATAACCGCTGTCCGAAACAGAAAAAGCTGGTAGAATGGCATTAGCTTGGCATATTGTCCCTGAGGATGTCTCTAATTAGCTATATACTGTGTATGTAAATAATATGTTTTATATTTTAACTGTTCACTGTGTATTTTGATTCAACGGCGTGTGAAATTTCAAGTGTTCTGACCACAACTGAAGACGAGAATATAACGGTTGGTCATGTGGTACGTTATACTTTTCTCAGCGCTGGTCGGAATGGACTAATCATATTCTTCGGTGATTAATAGTTAGGCAAATGGTATTTAATCATTTTTATATGAATGTACTGTGCTTATTTGTTATTATATTTCAGAGACCAATCATTAGCATTAATACATTCAAAATATTATACACTTACATTTTCAAATGCCTCCAATATAACAATAATTGAGCTGATATTTGAATGCAGCTCAATGGGGCTTTGGCTTTTTGGGCCTCCAAGAGCCCCCTGGAGGACTATAACACCAAACTGTTATTAGCCAGTAGCATTTGCCGTCTAATGTCCGCAGCCTCGTTTCTGTGAACCACGTGACGTCTGTTTACATCCTCTCAGCTGTTCCTCGACAAAAACAGCGCTGGCTGTTTAACGCCACGAAAATCTATAGCACATAATCAACAGTGCGCTCAAAAAAACACCAACTCGAATGTGCATCCAGTCTGTTTGGCTAGTGCAAAGCCTGAGATTGAGTCATGGCTTTATAAAGGTCAGTGAACATTGTTATTCCGCAAAGATGATGGCGACATTTTTGTTTTGCTGCTTTGCGTTGGTCTGAGGAAGCTGTTACTTACATGTGGCAGACATTTAAATGCTAACTTACTGTAATGGTTTAATGCACGCAGAAAAGCCCAAAATGGCTGTTTTGAAGAATGCACAAATGTTTTATTGTCTTAAGTGTTTTGAAGTACCACAATGCCGCCGTCTTACTGGTTTTCCCAGTCCTGCAGCGTTAATGTTATCTAACAGCGTGGGTTTCTGAAGTAGCTAACGTTAATTGAAAAACTAGAGTTTTTTTTCCCCTTCGCTCAGTTTATTTTCATCTGAATTACAGACGGCGGCGGAGGCATTTTAACTAATACTTATTACAATAGCAAGTAACGTATGACAACAATATCTTAAGCTTTATTTTTTTTTATTTTTTTTTTTTTTTTTTTTTAAAAATTGTTTTATGTTTTGCTCATTACACAACACGCACAATAACAAAGGCCATATGCACGACACACCGCGAGCTTTTTCGTAAATATTTTAAATGTCAAGTTATGGCATAACCCTGTTAAATGTATCAGTGGAGTTACTGAAGTAATGTAAAGTATGCAAAGCAAGTCCAGCTTAGAGATTATGGCGGATCTAAACATGCGAAACGCTTTCTCTCTCTCTCTCTCTCTCTCTCTCTCTCTCTCTCTCTCTCTCTCTCTCTCTCTCTCTCTCTCTCTCTCTCTCTCTCTCTCTCTCTTGCTTTGATTTTTACTGTCTCAGATATAATATTTGAATGTATTAAGCACTGCACAGGTCGCTGGACACTGTATTTAACGCAGTGCGGTTATGTGAATGTTTTATAAATCCTTTAGCTCGACTGCGTCGTGAAATGAAGATCTTTATGTGTGTGGATGGACCTCAGCGGGTGACGTCACGCAGCCAGACGCCGTCCATATTTTATGTTCATCGGTCGTAAACGTAAACAAACGAACGAAAGCGTCGCAAATATGCCATTTCTCTTCACTTACGACAGAAACATCCTTCAGAGGAATATAAAACTATTCTTATATCGCATGTTGGTGCCGTACTATTTGTTTAGAGCCGAGTTTTATGGCGTTCTTATGGCAAGCTGCTTTTAAAGGGATGGTTCAACCAAAAAATTTAAATTTGGTCATAATTTTACTCACCCTCATGTTGTTCCAAACCTGTACACAAAATAAGATATTTTTAAGAATGTTGGTAACCAGAGAGTTGATGGACCCAATCGACTTGTCCTTCACTATGGAAGTCTGTCAGCTGTCAAATGTAATTTAAAATATCTTATTTTGTGTTCAACAGAAGAAAGAAACTCATACAGGTTTGAAACAACTTGAGGGTGAGTAAGTAATGACACAATTTTCATTTTTGGGTGAACTTATCCCTTTAATAGGCTATTATTCCTTACAACTAAATAGTTATTTTTTTAATGTTACTAGTACACATATACTGTACTATTACATATTATATTTAATTTCATGTACACAGCCTAACCGGGACTTATATGTTTAGTTTCACAAGTAACTGCTCCTTAAATATCAGTGCTTTTTCATAGGCCTTTTCCCACAACATAAACAGTTTTTATTGGCCATCAGCTCTAAATGTTTTTTTTTTATTACTTTTTACAGATTAGAATGGTTACTTAATAATGCAATAAAAAATCTTACCTACTGAATACACACTTGTTAGATCTCAGTCTCCAGGAATATTGGATCCAGCTGTGCTGAACTTCTCTCTCCACCACAATGTTGGTCGTCTTCCATTCTATCATAAAAGTAATTTAACAAAACTTATTGAATAATCTAATTTGCGTCTTTCTCTGTGCATAGTCTGGCTTCATCTGAACAGCACAAACATGACCAAACTGCTTTACAACCGTGAAACCTTGAAATGGATACATTCCTTCTTATCTTGTGAATGCCACACAATCATAAGATTGAACCACAGGAGCAAAGCATTGCAAGAGCATGGGAAATAATGAGTAATATTAATGTAAATGATAAATGAGTATAAAATATGGATACAAGTTAAAAGTATGTTTGCTCCCTTGAAGCTATAGGTTGCTCTTAAAATCAAATATTTCTCACTAGAGTCTCAACTAGTGTTTATTTGGTTGTCTAATAAAAAACTGAAATAGATACTAGTAACTATTTGAATAGTTATAACAGTATGAATGTTTATAAATAAGTACAAGTAACAAAGTTGTAAGGAATACATTTTAAAATATTTTGTCATGTGATACTAAACACTTTGGCTTTAATGCATGTGATTTTTGTATATCTCAGTAATTATTATTATTATGAATTCAAACAATAATTTATATTAACCAAAAAAACTTTTGAAATGTGAAATATGACCTGAACATCATTATTATTATTATTAGGTGAATCTCATGAAACGTAAAGGTCATAGTTTAAAATGTTTAAAATCAAAAGAAAGAAATTATGAATGTTTTACATTTCGGGAATGCTTTAATACTTAATGTTCTTTATTTAAACTATAATTTCTATTAAAATTAAAACGAATATTTATATAATAAAACTCTTTTTATTTATTTAATTTTGGGGTAAGGAAGTACGACCTGAACATTTATTATTATTATTTTTATTATTATTATGATGATGTCCCCTGCAGGTTGGGTCATGTTTTACTGAAGTGAAGTGACGTGAAGGCCAAGTATGGCAAGCAACCCATACTTGGAATTTATCCTCTGCATTTCACCCATCCATGTTAGTACACACACATTAGTAGTTCTAATTAGTAGTGAACACACATACCCACACAAACACTGCAAACTGTGGAAACACACACCCGGTGCAGGTTTTTTTTTTCCCTCGGTGGGGTTTCTCTCTATGACACAGTTCTTCTTATTGAGGTTTGGAATGAATCCGCTGAGAGTTTGAGGCTTCTGCTTTCCCTGGGTCAGACATGCGTTGCAGGAGTCAATGTGAGGGCATGAGCTTCCGTTTCATATGTAGACTATTCACACACTCCACGTGTCCTCATGAAACACAATAGTCTGTGATAGGAGACATGACAGGTGTATGCTGTAATGTGTAGTTGACAGGTCGTGAAGTTTCAGTAGTATCCTGCAGTGTGACATAATATACTGTGAAGAAATAATGGAGATAGTGGAAATCACACTGCTTTTATCTTCACTGGAAAAGTACAGAGGAACTGTAAACAGATGTATTCTGGCTGAGCATCAGTGTAGTGTGATAATGTTGCAATTATGCAACCAGCAAGTTAAAACATGTTAATGACGGATCAGCTCAGCTTTATAACAAACTGTTCCAGTTCATTGTTCAAGTTCCAGTATTAACTTGACAACAATCCAGGAGTTACTCAACTTGCTCTCTGACAAAACCAGTTAGCAGTGTTATGAAAACCAGCATCCTTTTTTCCCCCTATATTAATGGCGTTATTGATTTATGGTGTCCAACCAGTGTCTGTTTGTTAGAAAGAAAGACATGTAATGTAATAGGTGCCGTTCTCTTTTGTAAGTTGTATACTGATGTACAGAGAGTCTCTGTAGGGTTGCAATCAGGTCTTGTACAAAACAGAGTAGGAGGTTTGACCCAGATCCCTCCCTGCAGTATTTTTAGTGCAGGAGACTCAAAGGGCAGTGATACAGGAAAACGCTGAAAAGGAAGACAAATGGAGAAAAGATAAGAACAAGGGAATTCTGGCGATGTAGACATTTAAAACCCTATAAAATATTAAGCAATATTCATATCAGTATATTAAATATATTAGTTCTATCAGCTCTTACCCCCTTGAATTGATTTCTAAGGCAATTTTTTCGAAACCTTATCAAATGTAGGGTAAGTCATCTTTCATGTCAAATTCTTACATTTTATCAGAATTAAATGTAATTAAAATAAGTTCACACTCACAAACGATCAGATCAAGCAAAAAACGATGTGTATTTTGTGTGCTGTCCGAGGGCTCGGAATTTGGCCCAAACTCCAGAGTACAGGCCGTTGCGATATATACACAATTGCGATATTTCGATATATTGTGCAGCTCTACTCCTAATGCTAGCGGCTTCTGACAATAGCAAGTAGAAAATCATGATTTATTGGTTGCAATGTAAACTAAAGCCTTTTGCCTTTTAAAAACACAACGATATAAAATATATTTAAAAAGGGATGAGCTCTTTAATTTCAATAGGAAGTATGTCAGCAAAGAAAATAAAACCGGTTTAATGGGTTCTTTTCAGAAGGATGGTCCTTTGCAAAGACATCCTTAATTGGAGTGGAAAATAGAGACATTTCGATGTACAGTAATTGGGCTTTGCTTGTACTCGCTGAACCATTAAGTAAACAAGCCTCATGTTTCTTTCTTTGTGTAAATCCAGATCTGGTTCAGGTTCATGAAAATCCTTGAGGTTACAGCAATCCAGCTTAACTCAATTACCAATGAGCTGGAGAAACTAAATGCCCTGTCTGCAGCCCAAATGTCACTTACAGGCTTTCTTTTCTCTTGCTTTGAAAGGATATTCAGTTAAGTGCATAACATATCTAGGAAGCAGAATTTCCAATGTCCTGATTAATAACTGGCGTTATCATTTCAAACATGTAATAAGACTTCAGACTTGGACAGTATTCTGCAATATTAAAGCTGGTGTCATCAGGCAGGTAACATCAGGTACACGCAACACCTAGCTGAAGAATCAGAGACGGCAGGTATCAGGTGGCACGCGCAGTATGGCTCCTTTTTTCCAGCTGTGCACCAGGGAAAAGGGTAAACTGAAATGTGCGAAAGAGAGATCTAAACTGTCACCCTTTGTTTTTCAGTCCTCAGATCTTGCCGTAGCCGAGAATGGTCTGAGGTGATTTGTGTGGGACAGACATCACGACTGGGCATCCCTGTGGAGAATCGCTCCAGCACTTTCATCTGGATGTGAGGACCGGTCTAGTTACCCGTCTCTCACCTCCTCTGCATTTTCTTTTTGTTTCTTTTTCTTTCTCGTTGCCTGTCTGGGGAACATGGGGGGAGCTGTCAGTGCTGGCGAGGATAATGACGATTTGATAGACAACCTGAAGGAAGCCCAGTACATCCGCACAGACCGCGTCGAGCAGGCCTTCAGGGCCATAGACCGTGGAGATTACTACCTGGAGGGCTACAGAGACAATGCATACAAAGACCTGGCGTGGAAGCATGGGAATATACACCTCTCAGCGCCGTGCATCTACTCCGAGGTGATGGAAGCCCTGAAACTCCAGCAGGGTTTGTCTTTCCTTAACCTCGGCAGTGGCACAGGATACCTGAGCACGATGGTGGGCCTGATCATAGGTGAGAACCACTCTAATAAAGTGTCCAGGGTTTAGATAAAACGATAATAAAGAAAACAAGCAGATATTGAGGATATAATTCAATAATATTGTTTGATTTATTTCAAATTCAAAGAAAACACAATAAATTATGAGAAGAAGAAATAAGAAGATTGCACCAAAAACAAAAAGACTATTTAGGAACCATCACAATACATTTAGGTTGCATAAATCAGCTTTTTGGCTCTCATCCTCTTGTTTATTTGTTTTGTTAGAACATTCTGCATGGTGGTAATTGCATTTTGAGTCATATCAAGATAATCTATCTTTTATTTTCATCACTATTAATATTATTGCTCATGTTTAAGTTTAGGGATTCGAACAAACTCCGAAGTCGTAAACATTGGCAGAAATTGACACATAACTCACCTCGTACTGTGAGTGCTATAGACATGAAATCATACTGTAAAAAAAGTAATATTGTGAAATATTATTACAATTTAAAATAATATATATATATAGTATTTTCTTTGTATATTTAATATATATAAAAAAATTCTATTTTAATATATTTTACACAGTTTTCAGCACCAGTCTTCAGTGTCACATGATCCTTCAGAAATCATTCTAATATAAAAACCATGGTACATTTTTTTTTCTTCATGATTCTTTGGTGAACAAAGTTTAAAAGAACTACATATATTTGAAATAGAAATGTTTTGTAACATTATAAAATGTTGCTTTTTATCCATTTGATGCACCCTTGCTAAATAAAAGTATATTTTTCTTTTTTTAAATCTTACTGACATTTTTTACTTTTCTTATCTTACAAACTTTTGAACTGTAGTGTGCTTATGTTGAATGATGAACCCAAAACCTATCCAGGGACCTGTTATTATCATTATTTGCAGGTCCGTTTGGAGTAAATCATGGCGTTGAGCTCCATAAGGATGTTGTGGAGTATGCGAAAGAAAGACTCGATGACTTCATTAAAAACAGCGACAGCTTTGACAGGCATGTTCAACCTTTATTTTGCATTGTGTTTCTGTAGATTTGAGTGTGAATGTACAGATTCGGCTTGAAGAAGTGCTGATTTAATCAGAAGTGTAGAAATCCAAATGGCTTTGTTTTACTTGGCAGCCGCTTCCAGGGAGGCAAACTGAGATTGAAGCAAACCCCATTAGTCCTACCGCAGTTCTGTGGTTATGCACTTCAAAGATCACTTGTTTTTTAAACTTTGATTTAGTCAGCCCTGCCCAATAATCTTCCATGTGACACAAAGAATGCACTAGCTAACCTCAAACCACAGGCTCAATGAATAAATACCTCAAGCGCACGTCAGCTCTTCGGTCTGCTGAGCGATTTGCACACCTGTGTGAACACCTGTCAAAACCAGAACCGCTAGGTCAGATAGTCCTCTTCAGTATTGGACACGCAACTGGGTTTCCCTGAACGCACTCCCTGGCATTTGCTGCTTGCAAACATCTGTTTTCGTCATGCACCAGAGAGAGCAGGGTTATTAAGGTCAGGAGGAAGAGCTGTAATGACGTATTAGACAAAGTGCTGATGCTATTAATCCATAAAAGCATGTTTCATACAGAAGGCCATGTGCCAAAATAAGGCTGCTTAATCAATGTTGCGGAGCTTTGGGAGCTCTCTTGTTGGAATCACTTTATTAGATATCGATATATCTTACACGTCTACGACTAACAACGAAAACAGCTGCCTAGTGGCTCTAAGCAAATACAAACACGCTTTGACTCATGCTAATAAAAAGCTCAATATATCAGATTTCTTTTTTGCATCATATCTGTTCTCTAAGAGGTAATACAAGAATAATAGCTTTTTATTCATCCGCAAAAATAGACTATTACATGTTCTGAAGGAAATGCAAGTGCTAAACTCGCTGACTTAATGCTAGCACATAGCATTTGTTTGCTGTGTGCTTCCTTCATTGTCCCATGGGCCTTAATGATGACTCAGATTATAGGCTATAGTTAAAAAGAGGTGTGCTACTACTTCGAAGTGATTTGATAAGCAGGCCTTACGGACAAATAATCTTGCAAAACCATTTCACCTACATATCTAGAGACCAGAATATTGTATAGATATCATATAAGGTTTAGATATCATATAGGTTTTGCAAAAACAAACAGCAGAAAATTGTGTTGAAGTTCTAGAAATTAATATCAGTGTTAAAAATGTGTCATTTCAGGTTTGAGTTCTGCGAACCACACTTTGTCGTGGGGAACTGTCTGGAGATTTCTTCCGACAGTCACCAGTACGACCGCATATACTGCGGAGCTGGAGTTCAGAAGGACCACGAGAACTATATGAAAATCCTGCTGAAAGTCGGTGGAATTTTGGTCATGCCAATAGAGGATCAGGTAAACCACAGGATGATGCATATAGCGGGCCCTAAAAGTGTTTGGACACTTCAGTCACACTGGTCACAAATGTCTGAATGTCTTTAGATAAATATAAATCTAAACCCAAAGGTCTGCATTTGTTGGTCTCCAATTCTGCAGGATTTTTTTTCATCACTAATTAATTTAACTTTTCTTCATCATTTTGTCATTCAACATTGGAGTCTGATAGCCCCGCCCCCTCCACTATGTACCGGTAATTAAAGCAATGACAGTTGAACTTGAGTGCCTGAAGTGTCCAATTACCCGTTTTTTAGGTAAATTAAGTGCATCATCCCGGTATTTTAAGTGCAATTTTTCTTTTTGGAATTTTCAGTGTGAACAAATAGAATGGAATAGAATAGAATAGAGCATAAGTATGCGAATTGGGACGCACCTCATGTCTTGCATCAAATGTTTGACCTTGATTAGCACACACCGTCCGTCTCATTCAGTGTTTATGTGTTCTTGCAGCTGACTCAGATAACTAGAACTGGTCAGAGCTCCTGGGAGAGTAAGAATATCCTGGCGGTGTCATTTGCTCCTCTTGTTCAGCAGAACAGGACAGAAGGCTGCAAGACTGAAGCTGTGGTACTCCGTGAGTCTCCGCCCCTAAATGTGATCTCACACTGCTCTGTCCAATCAGCTGCCACTTGGGAGGTTTCCAAGTACAATGTTACAGACTGATTTATTGCAGATTCCTTTATTAACCCGATTCATTCAGAAGTGTGAATGACACCACAGGCAAAACCATTGTGGGGGGGTTTTCATGCACTGGGCAATTTTGAGATTTTGTTTCCACATATCTTTCAGACTAGTGGAAAGAATCTAAAATGCGCATGTAACTCTTTCCCCGCCAGCGTTAAAAAAAAAAAAAGTTGCCAGCCGCCACTAGCATTTTTGAGAATTTTCACAAAACTTTCATGGCCCCAACTATATTTTGTTGTTTGAATATTGGAACATATAATATTTTAAAAGAAAGAACAAAGTATCTGCTTTTAAACAACAAAAAATGTGGGTAAGTTTCATTTAAAAAAAAAACATTTTGAACAAAATGCTGAGAAAATTGCATTTTTGTCAGAGACTTTGTTCAGATTGGATTCAGAACGATGATCAAAACATAATCAAGTAGATGAAGTCCATCAACACCCCTGAAGCTTCTCAGTCGTACAACTTTACATCCGCTAACGTTAGGCAGTTTTGACTCATATGCTGTTTAATGTTTGATGATCGCGTTAGCTTCCATGTGCATAAGCAATCTTCTCTTGCTTGTTTCTGCTTCTTTGCTTGTTTTTGGATCCGGAGATGCTGTACTATTTTAGAAGACGCGTAAAAGCGCCCCCTACTGAGTGAAAACATGAATATGAATGAACATGAATGACGGAAGCATTGTGTCATAAATGACGGGAAATCTTGTCAATGGCGGGGGAAGAGTTAAGTGCATATTTTATTACATTTTATTTGCATCTGTAGTTTACAATACATATATTTACAGGCCATTTTCTTAAAATGATTAACCTGATTCATTCAGAAAAGTAATGACATTTACAGACAAAAAAAAAAGAAGAATTCATGCACTGATAAATTTTGAGATTTTGGGCTTCCATAATGTCTTCTTTCAGGGTAGTTCAAAGAAAACATCTAAAATACACAATTGAGTGTTTATTTTGTTACACTGTCTGTTTGCATCAGTAGGCTTCGATAACAATACATATCTTTACAGACCGTTTTCTCAAAATTATATTTTTTCTCATGCACTAAGCCAGAAATCTCCAGATTCTTACACCAAACTTTACAGTTTTATTTAAGAGGAGTCTGTTTGTTCATATGTCATTTGCATCATTTATATAGCATTTGATTCCTAAAAACATGTTGAAAATTGATTTGTTTCCTGGATGTTAACATTATTTTCTGATTTATGAAGTGACCGTTTTAACAGTGGGAATTTTGTATATCTATATTTAACTAATATATCAACAAAATCAAACAAGCAGTTTGAACCTGGCTTTATCCAATATTCAGATTTCTGTTCTAGAAATATATATATATGCAAACTTGTTCATGTTTAAATATGGAAACAAAGCATCCAATTAAATAAGACAATTCAGAAAAGTTATAATACAAAACAATTGTCTTAAAGGGACAGTTCACCCAAAAATGAAAATTCTGTCAGTAATGACTCTCCCTCATGACGTTCCAAACCCATTAGACTTTCGTTCATCTTCTGAACACAAATGAAGATCTTTTTGATGAAATCTGAGCACTTTCTGTCCCTCCATTGACAGCTACGCAACTACCACTTTGACACTTCAAAAAGTTCATAAAGAGATTGAAAAACTAATCCATATTATTGAGCGGCTTAGTCCAAATTTTCTGAAGAGACTCGATCGCTTTATATGATGAACAGATTTAATTTAGGCTTTTACTCACATACACTGATCAGGGAACATAAACAGAAGCTCAACAGAACCTGCTTGACGCATGAGAACAAACCTCTTGCTGAAGCTCAAACGTGATGCGTAACACGAGAATGAACCTCATTGGTTCTCGCACGTCAAGCGAACATGCTTGAGCTTCTGTTTACCACAACTGATGTGAGTGTGAGTAAAAGCCTAAATTAAACCTGTTCGTCATATAAAGCGATCGAGTCCCTTCAGAAAATTTGGACTAAACCGCTCAATTCATATGAATTAGTTTTACGATCTCACGATCTCTTTATGAACTTTTTGAAGAGTCAAAGTGGTAGTTGCGTAGCTGTCAATGGAGGGACAGAAAGCGCTCAGATTTCATCAAAAAGATCTTCATTTGTGTTCAGAAGTTGAACGAAAGTCTTACGGGTTTGGAACGACATGAGGGAGAGTGACCGAATTTAAATTTTTGGGTGGACTATCCCTTTAATGTGCTGTGAGTAATCAACTGGGAAAGTAAGACTTTAGGTTTAAACAAATTGGTTGTGCACACAAATGATATTTGAGAAAACAACCTGTATGCGTTAACCTGTATCACTTGTCTGTTCCTCAGCGGCTCTGAGCGTGAGGAATCTTCAGGACCTGGCTCGAATCTACATCCGCCGAACCCTCCGCAACCTGACCAACGACGAGAACCCCGGCCGCAACAACACGCAAAGAGCGCCCCAGAAGCGCAAGCGCAGGCGCTGCCGTCGCCGTCGCCGCATCAACACCTACGTGTTCGTCGGGAACCAGCTGATTCCTCAACCCATGGACAGCGAGGAGGAAGAATGCATCGAGGAGGAGAGCAAAGAAGAGGAGCAGGAGAAAGACATTGAGCCCATCAAACCCGAGGAACCGCAGGTCAACCATCTGAGAGACAAAATCCTGAGTCTGCCGCTGCCCGAGTCGCTGAAGTCCTACCTGCTGTACTACCGTGAGAAATAACGTCCAGTCACGCATTCATCCACGGTGGTGGTTTCCTTCTCAGGCTGCTTCTCACCCTGAGGTTCATAGTTGTTGTTTTTTTGATAATGTAGCATAATTTAAACATTTAAATGGGGTTGGGTTGCGTTTCCAAGAGACTTGATTTGAATGTGCTTGCTGTGTTTGTTCTAATGACTCATAACGTTGTAATATTCACATTTTGAATGTGATTTTTCACTCCAGAGGAACTGAGGGAGACTGAGGTTTAGAAGCTTCTAGCTCACCTTGTTTGTATTCAGAAGAGTTTGCTAAATGTAACGGAAGAATTGCTGAAGCTATTTTTCAAAGGCTTGCAATGTAAGACCAGTAATGACAGTTTTCTTTCTTTTTTTAATTGTAGAGAAAATGAAAAACTCAAGTCATTATTTTGGGGATTCATTTTTGCCGCCTTTGATTCTGGAGTTTTCGCTGTTTATGATGCTAATGCTTTCGGTATATCTTTGGACTGTTTTAGTGAAGTTCCATCTAGAGAGGATTGTTTGACCTGTGTTTTGCATTTCTTTTGTTTTCTTTTTTTACATTCTAGTCACATTTGTAAGTACCGATATTGAACTCTCTTAATAGATGATGTAATTTTTTTGCTTGTTCCTTTCGTCTGCGAGTCGTCCTGAAGACTTAACGCTCCACTTTCTGCTTGTGATCATAAAATGTAAGAGACGTCACTGTTTGTGTCGGTTTGTAATCGGTGATTTCACACTGTCGTAACAACTTGTTTGCAATATATTGTCAGCATATTCACTTATTCGTAAATGATTTTGTTTCATTGAAATGGAATCTAATAGAATTTCACATCTATCATGTTTGTCACATTTCCCAAAAAATACAGACAGTTTGAGATATTGAAAACAAAAAACAAATATCATCTATAAATCAGATATACAGTTCTACTCATGTTTAGAATCTGCAAAATTTCTTTTTTTAAATTAAAATATATAAAATAAAAAATAATTTCATAAAAAGTACAGCTCTGAAGAAGCTAAAACAACTTAATATGCAAAATAAACTTAAACAATTATTCAGTAGATGCATTTACATTTTTTAATGTTGTTTTTAAATTCATTAGAATTAAATTGAGCTGTTTTAGTACTGCCCTAATGAAACTATATCATCATAACACATATTTACACAACAATACTAAATGATAACTGAATTTATAGGCTATTAATGATTCTTTTAGATGTTCACACACTTGGCTCTTAATTATTGTGTGTCGCCTCTATTAGTGTTCATAATCTTTTGTTATAGTTGTGCATCTCTGGTTCGTCCCACAAAAATCCTCTTTCAGGTCCTGTATGTTCTTTGGTTTCCCAGCATGCTCTGCACGTATGAGTTCTTCCCCACAATGGCTATGGGATGTTGAGATCCCGCTCAGGGCGATTGAGGCCCTGATAAAACCATCATAAAACTGAAAAAAGTCATTGACGCTTATGGGGGCCACACATGATGTTATTTTTTCTTCTGAAATATGTATAAATATCTATTGTGTAGCTTCTTCAGGGTGGTACTGAATACATTTTTATTGTTGTTTTTTAACCCAAAATAACTCCATGAAATGGCCTGACAAACACGGGTATCTTTTGTCTGTTGATGTACATTGTTTTAATACAGGACATTAGGGTGGGACGCATTCATTTTAAATAGCTTTTGTAATGCCACAGCTATAAACCAAGATTTGCTAAAATTTTGGATACACCCCTGAGTAATCAATATTTTTGTTCGTTTCCTAAAAGAAAATGTGACTAAAATTTTTTATAAGTACACTTGCATAAAGACACAGGGTTTGTAAGCACCTTAAGTCATTGCCCATCTCCTATTATTTATGAAATGATGGTAACAGGGAGAATGTAAAAATGATTATTCATATTTGTCCTTACAGCTTAAGGTACATTATACATACACCAGCACAAATGTTCTTTTCAAAACAGCATTTAAATTCAAAATAACTCAGAAATTCAAGAAAAAAAATTTGTTTTAAGACAGCCGGATGACCCATTTAAGTGTAATATTTTATTACATTTAAACTCTTCTGAGAGGATCTTGAAATATTTTCAAGCGTTTTTTCATATTTTTCAAAACGCCGTTGTCGTGTGAATGAACAGTCAAAACGCATAAAGTTTTCTGTTCTTAGTTGAAAATGGTGATGGTGAAAACTAAAAACGGAAAATCTTTTCTATGTTTTGGCTGTTCATTCACACGACAACGACATTTTGGGGGCCTGAAAACGCAAACGTTTGAAAACAGCTATCAAAGTGTAAGTTATTGAAAACTATAACCAGTTATCGTCTCAGTGTAAACTACAAAAATGCTAATTTGTGTCAACGGTGACACCATGCGCATGTTTCTCGCTACAAAGTGATATCGCTAACTACTGGCCGGGCAGCATAACAGCGTTTTTAACATCCGTGTGAACGGGGATTGTTTTGACAACATTGTCGCCCGTACGAGAAAAAAATAAAAGGCAAATCTTTTTCCGTTTTTAGGCTACTTATAGTTGTCGTGTAAACGCGCCCTGAAGAGCTTAAACCGGACCGTGTCTCGAGATAAGAGCAAGGTGAATCTGTCCAATGAGGTTGGGGGTGTTGTTAGAACGTTCCATGAGGTCTAATTCCACAGACGGTCCCTGTCAAGACACACGAGTGTCTGTTTTCACAAGTGTATCACTGACTGTAATTTGATGCTTTGTTTCTCAACCATCTTTTCATTAAATATATTTATAGCCAACCTGTTTTTACTATGCTTGTGTTTGTCATGTGGAGTTTAGTGTCACGAGAACTTCTGAAATGTACAGTAGTTACAAAAATACATGATTTAATTAATATATATTAGGCATATATATATACTGTATACACATTTTTTTTTAACCGGGTAGCGTGCGTACAGTGCGCTACTGGTGACGAACACAAACCTCAGAACACACACACACACACACACACACAAATAATTGAGATTAGACAAGGTCACACATTATAAAATCTTTATTAACTATACATCTTTATTAAAACAAATCATAGTTTGCTAAAAAATAAAAGAATGCTTTTCAGCCTCTGCTTTTCCAGTCCCATCTTTATCCAAAGACATCCCAGCTTGGGGTCAATAATCTCTCTTTTGCATAGACTAAACGCTCAACATCAGGACAAAAATCAGGGTTAGGACCAGATTGATTTGATGGCGCAAAAGTGCTTCTCAGTAAAACCACATTTATTATTCCATATGTCGGGTCCTACATTAACTTTGGGGTGGCAGCATGGTGGCCAATAAAGGGTTAATTTTTAGGCGGGAATATTACAAAGGTTGGGGGGGGACGCACTGTGGACTGTTGTGGACCGTTTTTGAGCCCAATTAAGTTGGTAGTTGACAAAGGTATTGTATTTTTTAAGTACAATTACATACAGTACTTTAACATGAGTAAATTAATTTAAAGCTTTGGCCATAATGCTAGATAACACACATCTTATTCCTACATGTCAGTTTGTGATTCTAGCATGCGTTAAATGACAGCAGCCTTAAATATGTACAGAGTTTTGAGAAGTTATGATTAAAGTCAACATGAAACCACATATATAACCACATAAAAGTGAATCAGGAATTGACTGATTGTGAAAAATGCGCATTACAGAATTGATTCAATTGTTTTTTTGCAGTAACCTTTATAACATTATATTACTATATGGTCTGTAGCACTTTGAGATTGCTAAAATGTAAAGTGCAATACAAATAAAATGTATTATTATTATTATTATTATTATCAATGTTAACCAGTGTTTATTGTGTTAACTCTTTCCCTGCCATTGACGTAAATTTCCGTCATATATGAGACAACGGTTTTCCGCCATTGACGGAAATTTTTTCACTGTTATACGCGTTATATTTTGGGCGCCATGAACGTTTTGTGAAAATGATCAAAAATGATCTTAAAAATGATTTTAAAAACATGCTGGCGGGGAAAGAGTTGATATTGGCAAGATTTTAGGCTGCATTACATATAATAGAGGATTTATCTACAACATTTTAACTAACAGCCCACACAGTCTAGATGACAATAACCAACGTATAAAGACAAAAACAATCTGATGGATCATGCACAGGAAACCGTAAATAAGGTCAGTTTTAATTTCATGTTGACTTTATTAGATGTATTTTGACTGCAAAAATGACCAGTTTATGCACTAATATATCTTTTAGATATTGGATAACAATTAAAAAAAAATAAAGTCAAGCGTTTCCTTTATTAGCAAATATGTCCTTCCCTTGAGAAAGTTCAAATGTGCATCATAGTCATGTCAATTCCAGCTTATCTTCAGTTACATGATCGAAGCTTTAATAAAGTATCAAAATAGGTACAATATGAAAATAATTACATTATCCCACATTCTCCAGTCTGTTTCTCTAGGCAGTCAGACGGGCGTCCATTTAATAGCATTGAGTTTTTCTACAAATTTAAACATTGTGAGAATTGATGCTCGATTTATGTTGATTTGTTTTGTTTGGATTAAAAACGAACATTTTCAACCTGGATAACAGGTTATGCTTTGGCAATATTGGATATACCTACAGAGCCCGTACATGACATGCAGGGGGAAAAAATGTATATCGTGGCCACGAATTAACAATCCATTCTCACGACTTGCTATTATATCAGCACGTTTTACTAATTCGCTTCCTCGTTTTAAAGGGTTAGTTCACCCAAAAATGAAAATTCTGTCAGTAATTACTCTCCCTCATGTTGTTCCAACCCCGTAAGACTTTCGTTCATCTTCGGAACACAAATTAAGATATTTTTGATGAAATCTGAGAGCTGAATCACTCCTCCATACTAGTCCATAGGCTTCTTCAGGGATTGAACTTGCCGGCCTCGAAAAGTCATTAAAGACATCGTTAAAATAGTCCAAGTGACTACAGTGGCTGAATCTTAAGTTTATCATGCGACGAGAATACTTTTTGTGCGCAAAAACAAACAAAAATAACGACTTTATTTCAACTATTCATTTCCTTCTCTGTGGGCCTCTAGTCAGTTAACGTAGTGTGATTCCGTAGAGCTACGTCACACGCAGGCTCACTATTGGCCGACGCTGGTCATGTGCGTGATGCGTGTGACGTACAACAACAGAAGCTTACGCTATTACACTAGTGAACTGACTGGAGGCCCACAGAGAAGGAAATGAATAGTTGAAATAAAGTCGTTATTTTTGTTTGTTTTTGCGCACAAAAAGTATTCTTGGCCACGAATTAACAATCCATTCTCACGACTTGCTATTATATCAGCACGTTTTACTAATTCGCTTCCTCGTTTTAAAGGGTTAGTTCACCCAAAAATGAAAATTCTGTCAGTAATTACTCTCCCTCATGTTGTTCCAACCCCGTAAGACTTTCGTTCATCTTCGGAACACAAATTAAGATATTTTTGATGAAATCTGAGAGCTGAATCACTCCTCCATACTAGTCCATAGGCTTCTTCAGGGATTGAACTTGCCGGCCTCGAAAAGTCATTAAAGACATCGTTAAAATAGTCCAAGTGACTACAGTGGCTGAATCTTAAGTTTATCATGCGACGAGAATACTTTTTGTGCGCAAAAACAAACAAAAATAACGACTTTATTTCAACTATTCATTTCCTTCTCTGTGGGCCTCTAGTCAGTTAACGTAGTGTGATTCCGTAGAGCTACGTCACACGCAGGCTCACTATTGGCCGACGCTGGTCATGTGCGTGATGCGTGTGACGTACAACAACAGAAGCTTACGCTATTACACTAGTGAACTGACTGGAGGCCCACAGAGAAGGAAATGAATAGTTGAAATAAAGTCGTTATTTTTGTTTGTTTTTGCGCACAAAAAGTATTCTCGTCGCATGATAAACTTAAGATTCAGCCACTGTAGTCACTTGGACTATTTTAACGATGTCTTTAATAATTTTTCGAGGCCGGCAAGTTCAATCCCTGAAGAAGCCTATGGACTAGTATAGAGGAGTGATCCAGCTCTCAGATTTCATCAAAAATATCTTAATTTGTGTTCCGAAGATGAACGAAAGTCTTACGGGGTTGGAACAACATGAGGGAGAGTAATTACTGACAGAATTGTCATTTTTGGGTGAACTAACCCTTTAAGTAAATTGTGCCCATGATACAATAAATCGTCCCCTTGTTTTACTAAATCATGGCCACGTTGTATAATTCATTCACTTGTTTTAGTTAAATTAAAACAAGGCAATGAATTAGTTAAACATGGCCAAAGTGTACTAAAATGAGGGAACGAATTCTTAATTTGTGGGAATAAATTCTTAATTCGCTGCCAGGATATTTATATCTTTTTTGTCCGCATGTCATGTGCGGTATTCTGTAGATATCTAACCAACATTCAGAAAATGTGTTAATTACTATAAATTTAAGTTTAAGATGGCTGGTATTACTCTGCCCAGAACACAACATAGTGTCGGCCCAGATCCGGCCCACATCTGGCACACGATGTTGCTGTCGGGGTGGTTAACTAAATTACTATTTTGAAAAAAATCAACAGAGGCTCAAGAACTTCATGGCAGTTTCACAACACCTTCATTCCAGTCGCTTACCAGATTGAATAATATTTTAAAAGTACACACAAAGAAGTGTTCATATCATTTGAATGCAAACAGATATGGCTCAATATCAAAGGGGAGGAGTCCAACTTTCTAATGACCCGGTAACAGCAGCTGAAAGCGATCCAGGAACATCTTCAACTGCAAACATAATGCTAAAATGTTCAGAATTCATATCCCAGCTCGTTCGCATGAGTCTGAGTTTCCCATCCGGAGAACATAGCGAGGGTTTCAATGTCCATTTCAAAGTGGACTTCCACTGTGTGTCAATTGTTTGTCAGGGCTAGTTCCTCTCATCCTACCTTTTCACTGTCTGGAAGGAGAGGATACGTCACTGGAGTCTGTCAGCTGGTGTATTTGATCTTGGATATCTGTGGTGGGGCGGTTAGGGTGGAGGTCGTGGACACCACAGGGGCCATGGTGGCGTTTCGGCTGCTCACGAACATGGGATCCAAACAAGCCACTTTGGCGGCGAAGAACGCGTGGATGCAGTGGAGAACCGCGAAGAGGTTGGAGAACTCCAGTTCCTGGAAGCATCAGGGGGGAAAAGATGATCATGAAGGTTTGCTGGAGAAAAGGAGGCAGCCTCAAGCAGAAATCAAATCAAACTCGGTGCATGAAAGTGCTTATACTTACAGCCTACAGGCGGGAAATAATCAAACAGGAAATTCATATCAACGCACTTTATTTTTATCTGCTTCCTTCAGCTATTTCTCTTGCACTTGCGAGATTATGACGTTTCAAAAAGTTTTCTAAGAAATGAGGTTACCATAAAGCGTATGATATCCCTGCTATATGAAAATGCTAAAGAGTGAGAAACAATTTGTACTTTCATAACCCGAATATGAAGCCAATAGAGTGGGTAAACTTACCTTTGCTTCAATAAGTTTTGTGTCTTGATTCTGGAACAGGAATTTGATTTTACTCTTTCCATCATCTGATGATCCTTTAAGCTGAGAGAATTTATATCTCCACAGCACTGCCTGCAATGAAGGTTTCAATTATGCATATTAATAACTCTATAGACTCTTCTACTCAAAGTTTGATAAATAACTTTTTTAAATGTTCATACTGCCCATTAAGCTGTTATTGTTTATTATTACAACTTTTTTTGTTTATTTGACTGGATTTTTTTTGTTGCTTTTACATGATTTTCTAATGTGTTTTTAGAATAGTTTTTATTATTATTATTAAAATAAGTGTTGTGAACATGAGACTTGGATGTTTTGTTCTACCACATAAATCATACTTCTAAAGTGCATTTTGAAGCTGCTATGGTTTTTTTAAGTTGAAAAATAAGGACTTACAATCATAAAGATGTGAGTTTATGTGCATGACCTTATTTAACAAACTAAATAGCAACACACAGTACCGTTCAAAAGTTTGGGGTCGGTACGATTTTCTAAATGTTTTTGGAAGTTTTTATGCTCACCAAGGCTGCATTTATGTGATTAAATTACAGTAAAAACAGTAATATTGTGAAATATTATTACAATTGAACTGTTTTCTATTTGAATATATTGTAAAATGTAATTTATTCCTGTGATCAAAGCTGAATTTTCAGCATCATTACTCCAGTCTTCAGTGTCACATGATCCTTCACAAATCATTCTAATATGATGATTTGCTGATCAAGAAACATTTCTGATTATGATATAGTGTGAAAACTTTTAAACAGTCAAATTCTTTTTAAAATAACACAATGGCTTCAAATTTGACATTTGAGGTGTGACCCACACAAAATTGTAAAATAAATATTGATGAAATATTTCCCTCTCACCTTTGACGCGGCGTCGAAGCACACGAAGCCCATGCTGAAATCTATGGTGAGTCCCATGAGATGACTGTCCACAATGCAAGCGTATGTTTTACACTGAAACAGGAGATGCTTGGCATTGTTAATCAGACACGAGGCAGACTGGCACACACAAACATCTCAATCTCGTAAATGTTTAATTAGGATGATAAGTGTCGTACATAATTATTTTGGGAGAAAAATAAACAAGCGGTGTTGTTTTTTTGGCACGAGGCACGGGCGCTGCGTTAGTTTGGTTTACTGGGACAAATTGGCAGCGATTTTATTTGCGCCACCATGTTTTCCATGAATGTGAAATGGTCCTGCTATTGTCTTGCTAGAATATGGAATATAGATTTGCTTCAGTTCTACGGGACTGTAAATGCCGTACTTGCATTTTATGTAATGTATTTGAAATATACATAATTGGATCCTACATGGATCAGTGTGTGTTTCTTCAACTATGGACACATTTGATCCAGTGGACTTTAAGAACACGTACAGTATTAAAAGACTTTTCACAATTTGTCTACTTACAATGTCCAACAGTGTAAATACATGAATTACAGAAGCTAAATAGAATTTCCACTAAATCTCAAATTATTTATTGTAATTAATCAAGTATTCTGGGATATTTTTGGAAAGAAATTGCAAACAAGGCTAATTTTACAGATAACATTTTATGTCCTCATAATTAAATAATACTTTCACACCATGGTTCTTATCGTTAACTAAAAGTAAAACATTTCTGTTAATTGAAATAAAGCTTAAATATAATAAAATATAAACATTAGTTGAAAAACTTATCTAAAATCAGCTATGTTGCCTTGGCAATAAAAGTTGACTAGAAATAAATCAAAACTAGAACTAAATTAAACCTACATATAATTAGCAATTTAAAAAATATAAAAAATAAAATTCCTACTGTTTCACATTTTTAACACTGCATAATTTTGATACAATTACAGGTTAATTGGAAACTATGGCAAAAAAAAAATTTTTTTGTTCATAAGTGTTATTTTTTTTCTTCATACATTATGCCTTTTAATTCATCTCAAACTTTTTACTTACAAAAAAAAAAAAACCTGTACATTTCAATGTGCATCATTTTCACACATTAAAAACGGAAAAGTTTAAATATTTTAAATGTTTTACACATTGTATCGTTTTCAAAAATGTTATTCATATTTTTTATGGTGGATTTTCATATTTACGTATGAAAGTTTGGATCAGGGACAAGAGCAAAACAACCAAATCTAAACGACATCTGACAAGTACTGTTAAAAATGTGTTTAAATGTGACCTTCATAAAACAAAAAGGGAAAAAGTTAAACCCAGGATTATATTATATTAATGTCTCCAAACAAAACTGTTTTTATAATGCGTTTTTGAACAATGTGTTTCCTTCTAGTACTGATTAGCAAATCACACTTAATCTCTCTTTTGGCAAGGCCTCAATCACTCAGAGTTTGCGTTGTTCAGATGGCGGCCAACATTGTCTGGCAGGTGCAGTTTAATTCGCCTCCATCTGATCTCAGCTCTGTCTGTTTACCGTGCCAAGAAGATAGAGACACAACTTCACCACTGAAATTGGAGTAAAATGCAATTAAGTTTAGATCGCGCTAGCTTTTGGGAGGTTCAGTACCTGTATTCGTTCCACTTCGAAGAACGTGGCCATCTGAAAGGCTTTCTCCCACAGAAGCAGCTCGCATTCGAGCTCCACGCTGAAGAAGATGTCCTCTCCAGAGTCCGTCTGAACACTGAAGCAGTGCTTTCGTTTGTCCACCAGCTCACTGTCCTAAAATAAGGAATTTGGTTAGAATGGTGAAGCGTAGATAACATAATACATTTTGTTTTTTTATATTTTAGACATGAAAGAGATTTCAAATAGTGAATATAAAATGCTTTAATGTATAACCTAACCTATATATTATATATATTCATTTAAAAAAGTGCGAGATCTAACAAATGTGCAATGCTGTAAATGTAGTTTTTGTTTTGTTGAGTTTTCTATTTGTTCCTAAATAAAAGCATACATACACTACCGTTCAAAAGTTTGGGGTCAGTGAGAATTTTATTTTTATTTTTTGGAGGAAAGAAATCAATACTTTTATTTATCAAGGACAGTAAAGACATTTATAATGTTACAAAAGATTCTATTTCAAACAAATGCTGTTCTTTTGAACTTCCTATTCATCAAAGAATCCAAAAAACAAAAACAAAAAAACTGTACAACTGACAGACCAACAACTGTTTCAACATTGATAATAATAATAAATGTTTCTTGAGCATCAAATCCTCATATTATACTGATTTGTGAAGGATCATTTGACACTGAAGACACTGACACTGGTGATGCTGAAAATTCAGCTTTGATCACAGGAATAAATTACACTTTACTATATATTCACACAGAAAACAGCTGATTTACACTGGAATAATATTTAATACTATAACTGATTTTTGTTGTATTTTTAATCAAATAAGCGCAGCCATGGTTAGCAGAAGAGAATTCTTTTAAAAGTATTTAAAATCGTACCGACCCCAAACTTTTGAACGGTAGTGTATGTGATGTTAAATGCAAATAAGAATAAGATTATGCTACTTAAGCTATTATGCTTATTTTTGAACTTTCACTAGCATGCAAAAATCTAAACAAAATAAGGAATTTGTATTATAATTAATTTAAATATATATATATATATATATATTGTCCCTTGATTTCTTGTCATTGGTGTCAAAACTTGTATTTTGAAAATATAAAAAATGTACATCCAAGGTTACTATTGTCACTGGTGGTGCTACCCTTTTCTCATTTGTGAAATAAAAATAAATAATAGAAATAAAGAACAAAAGCTGTTGTGCTGTCACGGCCAGTTTGGTTTACTCTGTTCAAGGACTCTTATTTTGATTTTCATTTCAGTTTTGTTTCCTTGGTTGTCATGGGCTGTTTCCAAAATTGCTATTCCCTACATTACTCCACTAATATAGTCCACGCTTATGACCACACATTAGCATTGGCTGGTCCAGCCTGAAAAATGTCATGATTTGAGTGTTTAGAAACAAAAATTTTGAAACAGTAGTTAAATTTCACTGGTAATTTCAAACATGAAATTTTAATCGTAAGCTTGGTTGAACAGCTTTGGAGAATTTAACGTTTCCCCATTAAAAAAATAGGAGGTACTTGCATGACTGAAATAGCTGCCCGAGAGGCGTTTCAAAGATGGCCGCCAAGTGAGATGACTTGCCTTAAAGGGACTTTGTTATTACTCAATAAATAACCACAGAACAAGAACCTATAGGAGGATGGGACACTGATTTATCACCTATTAAATATCTGATACCATCACAGTATTCATTTGTAAGGCCAGTGTCAGTTCTAATGTGAGAAACTTCAACTTGTAACTTACCTTCAGTATCTTGAACATGATCTCGTAGACGGAGAAGCTCTTCTCGGCTCTGGTCCAGTCCCAGGTGGTGACCTGGAGGAGTTTAGATTGCTGTCAGTCTCCAGAAGTCACAGACAGTTCATTATTCAGCTCAGTCAGAGAACTCACTGTGTCCCTAAAGGGATGATTCAAATGCTACATGAAATAAACAAAGTCCTGCTCGCCGACGAACGAGTGAAACCCCCCTGAGATCTCGTGAAGGAGAATGACTCACGCTGAGCATCTGCAGTAACCTCTAATACCCGAAGGCCAGTGAAGATGATCATGATGGAACAGAGAACTCACGAGTGTTTTCTCCAGACTCAAGTGGCTCAGAGCAGACTTTTCAAATGTCAGAATACCAGTCAAAAACAGACTGCTTGAGTCAACAAACGCACACACACACGCGCACATGTTTTATGGGGACTTTCCGTAGATATAATTATACTGTACAAAGTGTATATTCTATCCCTTACACTAACCCTACCCTAAACCTACCCGTCACAGACAGCTTTCAGCATTTTTACATTTTCAAAAAACATCACTTATTATGATTTATAAGCTGTTTTCCTCATGGAGACCAAAAAATGTCCCCACAAGGACAAGGATTTCGAATACTGCCATCTTTGTGGATTCATTTTGTCCCCATAATGTAGGGTTTACCAGGCCACACACACACACACACACTCTCTCTTACTGTGGATGACTCATCAGGGCATGTTATTTATTGTTTGTCCAATAAAATCTAATAATAAAAAATGATTAAAAAAATTAAATAATTAATTAATAAATACATGTAAAAGCAATTAACAAAAAATAATGATAACAATAACAATACTGACCTTTATACTTAATATATTAATAAATATTTTTTAATAAATAATATTTTGGATAAATATAACTAATTTAATAAATAAATGTAATAATAAACCCTTTTTTGTTTCTTTTCGCATGTTTTTGATCTTGTTTATTCGACAATGTAACTGCCAATAAAATAAATTATGAAATGCCTTTCAATTTTAGAAAGACTCCTTATTAAATCCACTAAATTCCCAGTTGCTAATATCAAGTCATTTCTTCTGCTTGAATGTCCTGTGTTACTCCGAAATGTGGATCAGATTACGGAAGCAATAAGTTCTGAACACTGTTTATTTCATGTTGGAGGTCAACGAACATCCAAAACCATCTTAACCAAAATTAGCTTTGTGCACCTGAACTCTTTTCATGTCGAAAATGCTTTGAAATCGAACTTTCTACCCAATGCGTCCTCAAAGGCATCATGTCAAGTGTTTATTGCCCTGAGCGGAGAACATCTGAACAAGCTGCAATAACCCGAGAGAGCCTTTGTACAAACTGCTGAGCGCTGTAAGTTCTCTCCAATGTAATTCTGCATCTGCGTATCCCATAATAGGTTTCCACGTCCAAACTTCTGATCTTCCTCCCACTCCACCTTCAAATTACGATTAATGGCAGATTGGATGAAGCTCTTTGATGTCTCGATCTCGTCAGGATAAATGAATTAAGTGGCAACATCTACAAGCAACAACTACAGCGATTCCTCATTTCATCAGGACTGAACCATCTGATGTGAAATACAGGGGGAGTCATCAGTGTTATCTCCATTTTTACCTTTAATGAGACACTTCTCAGATTATCATTCATGTTTTAGTCCAAATCATTTCCCAGAATTATGATGACGGCGTTTAAGTTAATTGCTGATTGTGCACGGAGATTTGGCTTTATTGAATGGAGGTGTTAGAGCATCAGGTTAGGTGATTTAGCCTGCGGCTGAACAGAATAATGGATTTCATAAAGTCGATAATAACTGAAGCAAATAATGTGGACGTTAACTGCTCAGGAGGGAAAATGGGCAATTCTTTAAAGAAATAGTACCTCTGAACTGTTCATCTGTCATTATGTACTCATCCTAATTTCATCCCATGGTATTATTTGTATAATATTATTGTATATTTTAAAATAGTTTACATTTTTCAGTTTTCATATTAATTTCAGTTTCAGTATTTTTGTTATGTGTTTCTCTCATTTGTATTAGTTTATATATATATATATATATACACTCACCGGCCACTTTATTAGGTACCCCATGCTAGTAACGGGTTGGACCCCCTTTTGCCTTCAGAACTGCCTCAATTCTTCGTGGCATAGATTCAACAAGGTGCTGGAAGCATTCCTCAGGGAGTTTGGTCCATATTGACATGATGGCATCACACAGTTGCCGCAGATTTGTCGGCTGCACATCCATGATGCGAATCTCCCGTTCCACCACATCCCAAAGATGCTCTATTGGGTTGAGATCTGGTGACTGTGGAGGCCATTTTAGTACAGTGAACTCATTGTCATGTTCAAGAAACCAATTTGAAATGATTAGAGCTTTGTGACATGGTGGAAGTAGCCATCAGAGGATGGGTACATGGTGGCCATAAAGGGATGGACATGGTCAGAAACAATGCTCAGGTAGGCCGTGGCATTTAAACGATGCCCAATTGGCACTAAGGGGCCTAAAGTGTGCCAGGAAAACATCCCCCACACCATTACACCACCACCACCAGCCTGCACAGTGGTAACAAGGCATGATGGTTCCATGTTCTCATTCTGTTTACGCCAAATTCTGACTCTAACATCTGAATGTCTCAACAGAAATCGAGACTCATCAGACCAGGCAACATTTTTCCAGTCTTCAACTGTTCAATTTTGGTGAGCTCTTGCAAATTGTAGCCTCTTTTTCCTATTTGTAGTGGAGATGAGTGGTACCCGGTGGAGTCTTCTGCTGTTGTAGCCCATCCGCCTCAAGGTTGTGCGTGTTGTGGCTTCACAAATGCTTTGCTGCATACCTCGGTTGTAACGAGTGGTTATTTCAGTCACTGTTGCCCTTCTATCAGCTCGAACCAGTCTGGCCATTCTCCTCTGACCTCTGGCATCAACAAGGCATTTCCGCCCACAGAACTGCCGCTCACTGGATGTTTTTTCTTTTTCGGACCATTCTCTGTAAACCCTAGAGATGGTTGTGCGTGAAAATCCCAGTAGATTAGCAGTTTCTGAAATACTCAGACCAGCCCTTCTGGCACCAACAATCATGCCACGTTCAAAGTCACTCAAATCACCTTTCTTCCCCATACTGATGCTCGGTTTGAACTGCAGGAGATTGTCTTGACCATGTCTACATGCCTAAATGCACTGAGTTGCCGCCATGTGATTGGCTGCTTAGAAATTAAGTGTTAACGAGCAGTTGGACAGGTGTACCTAATAAAGTGGCCGGTGAGTGTATATATATATATATATATATATATATATATATTAGTGCTGTCAAATCGATGAATCAATTATATTTGTTTATATGTATATATATATATATTATTATAAGAGTTTTTGTTTATATAATATGTGTGATGCGATTAATCGCAATCGATTTGACAGCACTAATATATACACTACCGTTCAAAAGTTTGGGGTCGGTACGATTTTAAATACTTTTTTTTTTTTTTTTTGCCAAGATATTTTTATTAATATTTTCTTCATGTAAATACAAACACAATCTTGTTAATACAAATTTGTCCATGCGATCATAATGACTGCATTACATGAATTTAAACCCATTAAAAGGCAGGAATTAAGCAGAAAAAAACTAATACAGTGAACAACGCTTCTCTCTTCAACATAGGACATTAAGCATAAAAAATAAAAACATAGTATAACCTATAATCTTATCTCAAAGTATACATTTTTCCATTTTTATTTAAAGTGACATTTAAACTTAACCTGTAGCTCCACAATTTAAGCTTTTCTTGTCTCAAAAGTCCAAAGAATCATCTGTCAAATCTAAGTCCTTAATAAAGTCTATGAAAGGTCCCCAAATCCTATCGAATAAATGTTGCTTAGATCTCCTAATGTATGTTATTCTCTCTAAGGGGAGGCTGGACATCATCTGCTTTAACCACTGGGTGGCGCTGGGTCTGTTCACATTCTTCCAAGACAAAGCTATACATTTCTTTGCAGACAACAAACTTATATTTATAAAAGTACATTCAGGTTTACTATAATTATGTTTGTCTGGGTATAAAGCGATTAAAAACAGTTTTGGGTCCAATACTATCTGTTTAGAAGTAATTTTCTCAATTAAATTTTTTACCTCCTCCCAGAAGATTTTTATTTGCCTGCATTCCCACATGCAATGTATTAGAGTCCCTCTAGAGCCACACTTTATGCATACATCCGGTATATTTTTATTATATTTATTTAGTTGTACAGGTGTAATATATACACGCATGAGCCATTTATATTGTAGCATTCTAAGACGGCTATTTATAGACATGGTATGGGTTTTAACACAAGCCCTTTCCCACTCCTGTTCTCCAATCGATAATGACAGATCCACATTCCATGACATAAGTTTATCCCTCGAATTCTCTGCTACCGTGGAGATCAATAGATTATAAAAATCAGAAATAATGCCTTTTCTCACTTTATTTTTAACCATCAACTTTTCCAGTGATGTAAGAGGAGGTTTACTTAGACTACTATGATTCGCTTTCACAAAACTTCTCAACTGGAGGTATTTAAAATAGTGTTTTTTATCAAGCTTAAATTTAGATTGTAACTCTTCAAAGGACATAAATATATCGGACTCTGGTGGATAAAGGTCATTAATTGTTTTAAGTCCTACAGATGCCCATCGTTTGAAAGATGCATCTGCCCTTCCTGGTACAAAGAGCTGGTTGCCCCATATTGGGCTAAATTGTGACAAAAAATTTGATTCTTTGAAAGATTTACTTACATCATGCCAGACTTTAATCATATTTTTTAGTATTGGATTTCTAGTTTGTTTCCGTAATTTTTTTGCCCTGTCAGAATACATGAACAATGGGAGAGATAATTTTAAATCATGAGACTCCATTTCGACCCAATGTGGATTGTTTTTGTTTGAAAAGTAAAAGATGATAGTCCTTAACTGTGTTGCCCAATAGTAGAATTTAAAGTTGGGACACTTTAGCCCTCCACCATCGAATGGTAAATAGAGTAAGGAGAGACGAATCTTA